GCCTTTGCTGGAGATTTAGCTCGCATTAGATTGAATTTTTAGTAAATAGCATCAATGTCAATAATTTTTAGTAAATAGCATCAATGTCAATAATTTTTAGTAAATAGCATCAATCTCGGTAATTTTAAAAAACTACAAAATTGCTTATTTAGTTAAAGGGTTATGTTAGTAAGTTAACCTCGCGATCTTGGTGCTCCATTCAAACTTTGCACCTCAGTTTAACCACTTTATTGTTTAAGCTGAGTTATGAGAGATCAGTCGATTATCTAATCCTTTACCGACCAGTAACGAGTGCCTTCCATATCCTACAGTTTGAGCTTCCAAAGCTCTATAAGAGCTCAATAACATATATTTGGGATGAAATAATTATGATTGTTTGAATAAGACAAGTGTCAATTCTAAAGCACTCTAAATAAACATCTTTTGAATTAAAGTCCGTTTCTTTTGAGAGAAAGTTTTTGTTCGTAAACTACATTATTTATATTAATAATTTCCAAATACCCTCTTTTTGTTTAATTAGATTACAGAGGCGAATGTTTTTTTTTTTGCTTCGATAACAAGAAGCCTATTCAGGGAAATTGTTTATTTATTTCAAAGTAAGTGAATAGATAATACAACTCTTTTAAATCTATAAAAAAATCGCAGACATATAAAATGAGGATGAATTAAAATTTTGTCATATATTATGTAAGTAAACGATTTATTGTTTCAGGTAGAAGCAAAAAATATGCCGGCGGTCCCCCGTTCGAACCCGAGTTGGACAGTTATCGTAAGATTTTAATGTCTGATTTATTTGACTTAACATGAAATCTCTGATTATTAACCCAATAACTTATATGACTTCAATAATCTCTGCAAGTAATTTCTTAGTCTTCCACCGTGAAAAAATCTAACCACCGGCCAAAAATGTATGCACTCTGCACTCACGTCCGCCAAGTCTTAAACTACATTTCTTTGAAAGGTATTATAGTCATGATCACCTGTGCCAAAGCGCATCAAATTCCATCCCGGGGGTCTTTAGTAATAGGGGGCTCAGGTGTTATGGGAATACTTCATAAGGTGCAAGGGTGCCCCCTTATGTTATTCTGCAGCGCTAGAGTAAATCGAAAAATCCCTGCATGGGTTGGGGGTTTTTCAAACATTCTGTTCGGTATAGTAAATTGTCTTGTATGTAAAACGGAGTGACCACAAATCACACAATCTTGTCCACGCTCGCTGAGAAAACATGATTCTAGTTCATCCATACTAATTTACAAAACCGATAATCGTGTTCCAATGTCCAAAGCGTGTTAGATAAAAATCAATCAAGTGACAGTGAGCGCACAATCACAACGAAGAAAGACGAGTCGACTATTTGCAACTGCAAGTCCTTCAACCCCCGTAAACTGTTTTGAGGTGGCTCAATAAGGGCAAGTGCAGGATGGTCGGCAGGCTTTGTCGTATATCTGGTTCTATAGTACGATATGGCATATTATTATGGTTACTAATAATATAAAAGTAAGGTTCTGAAAAAATGAATTTATGTAGCTACTTAAATATGCCCATGTGTCATATATTTTGACTACCAGGATATTTTTAATGGTGTCATAATAAATAAGGCTGGTTTTTCATAGATCTATCGAATCATACTAATTACATTGTTGGCGGAGCTGGGTGTGTTTTGCTAATTGTTCTTTATTTATAAAACTGGCTTCCGCCCGCGACTTTGTTCGCATTATAAACACCGTGAATTATGAGTGACCTGAGGAACTTCACTATCTAATTCAGACAACGATTATGTACGCAAAATAAAACTGCAATTATTTTTTCGAAAAATATCTCTACCTTTAAATAAAACCAGTTTCAACGGCATAGATGCACTGATTTATTTATTTATGGCGTCTCCCATCCTTTTCAGGCTGCGTCGTCAGAATTATCTCTACCTTACTCACTATTTGTGTAATTATGAAATCTTAACTTTTAATTGTTATAAAATGATTCATATAAGTCTACTTTAAGAATCTACGTACTTTAAATTTACAAACACCGTTTTATGATATTATGTAAACGATATAAAAAAATATTTTTGTAAGGGGGTGTAGTACATTTACTGTTTATAACTGTCCGCACTCTTTTTATTTACCCGATTTTTAAGTATCTTACTCGTAGGTAACTCAAAGTTCACAGTGGATATGCCAATTTGATTTAAATCTCATCAGCCGTTATAGCGTGAAAGAGTTACAAACATCTATACAATAAAAGGGAAATAAAAAATTGGGTGTAGCTAAATTCGTGTTAACTGATAGTCTTTTTTATGCTTTGTAGTGTCAAGCTCAATGGTTTTACAGTTAACTATGAAATGTTTGTTCTGTGGATCATATCATTCATTGAAGTGTGTTCAATGTTATGTAATGTCACTCAGAAGTTTAATCAAACAATTTGTTGTCATAAATTCTTACAACTACTACGAGCATACGAGTGATCGGATTGTTGAAACGCATACGCGATTTGTCGAGATGGTGTTAGCTTTACGCAATCGAGATAAGTTCAATGTCTAATAAAAGGTCGATTGACGAAATATGTCCGCACTACAACACCACATATCTTTCTTCACGACAAATCGATACAATTGTCGTGTCGTGTCAAAAGATAGTGGAAGGATGTAGAAGCCGAGGAAGGTCAAGACTTAGGTACCTATCACGATCAAATTGATCGCATTTTAAACATAGAGTGCGATCAAGATCTTTTAGCACTTAGATGAAATTGACAGGAGGGCGCTGCTGGTGAATTAGGGTGAAATAAGGATTACTAAGTACTTACGTAAAATCTCATCACTGAGGGGAACATCATAATTTATAATAACTGGGAAAGTGTAAAAGGTTTTGTCTAGTAGGTCATAATGGTCATGGTCATTAATTAAATTAAACAATAGTTTTGTAGAAATAAAATTTATGTAAAATCCCGTGTATAAATGTATATAGTAAAAAAAGAAAAAGTAAAAACCACAGACTACAGCAACTGACAGTAGACAATGAGGTTGCCAGAGGTGAATTGTCTATGGCATTGCCCATAAACATTTTGCACGTCGTTAGGACCGCAACAGGCTTATTTACACCTTCCTCTATAAATAAAAGACTTTATATTTATCTCGAGATGTCGATATACATCCCCATCATTGTACCTATGCTCCACAATTAATGAGTTATTATTATTTATATCTTCTTAATTTTTTCCGATTTCAGCCACACGCTACAAAATCTTGTTTGCGCTGTAGGTGAAATCATTAGCCGCGAAAACCAGCGGGCGTGTATGAAGAGAGTGATGAATGTGAATGAAGCGAAAGATGGGTTTACGGACCGTGCCTTATGGCGCTCTATTCTCTCTGCCTTCCGCAACCGGAACTCGGCGTGAAGATAGAGGTAGTGCTTAGAAAACTTCGATAAAAACGCCCAGGTACAGATACCTGGGCATTTTTCCCCGCCCCCCACGACAACGGCTAACTAGAGCCGAGGTCCGAGTCTCAGAGACGCCCTCTAGTTGAGCCGACTCCTCAGGTTCGAGTGGTCTAGAGACTCCAGACGGAGAGGAGACTCCCTCCGTGGGGAGATTCGATCACTCGCCAATTCTCGGCTTGAGGTCCCCTTAAGATCACGCCGTCCCCAAAACCCGGTGACGCTGTGAAGGTCATCTGCGACCAACAGCATACATACTCAATAAAAAATTAGAAAACTAATTGCCTGTATAAATAAAAGGCAACCGTTACTGACATATCTATCAACGCACAGCTCACACCACTAAACGGATTCACCAACTGATTACGCTGAAATTTGGCTAAAAAATAGCTAGGTACTATGAAGTAGCACGCTAAGTAAGAATTTTCAAAAAGTCATCCCCTAAAGGTGTAAAAGTGGTTCAAAGTTTGTATGGGAAACTAATATTTCCACGCAGACAAAGTCATGGGCACCCACTAGTTCTAAGATATAGTATCACAAGTCTAGTGTTTGACTAGAACAATGTGAAGGTGGCTCCGACCTTCAGGCATTCAGCAGGCCGCGTGCAGGCATTCACAGTTCGTGACAATCGTGTTATGCAAATTCCATTTTAAATAATTCATTCCAACAATATTTTCATATCAACTTTTATTTATGGAGTATGGAACCTGGCTATGGGTTTAAGCCATTGTACTTTTTTCCGGTTATAAACAAACATATACCGAACCGCATGATTTGATGTGGCCCTTCGAGGCGGTATAGTAATATTATCTGTTTAAAATTTATATTATTTATGTAAGTATTTATAACGGAGCTTTTTATCGCACGGTGAGGAGTTGGCGGAGTGTACGCGAAGAAAAATGTAAGATAATTTACCGTCACAACCGTCACCGTCAGCTGTTTCATAGTGCTGGCCTGCGCAGACGACGGACTTTTGTTCGCGGTGGTCAACTAGTGCGAACATATTTTGTTCATTGAAAATTAAGAAAATCGCACGCCATGGATGTAATTATTCTCAGATTACTCATACCTTATATTGTATTTAACATGAATTTTAAGAAAAGGGAAGACTTTTTTGTGAGAATAGTGAGTCCATCTTTTTAATCATCTAAAGATGAAGGTACAGTATTGCTGTCTATAATCTATTAATAAACTGGCAATCTTCTTGAGCTTTATGAAGGTGTGTATGTGTGTGTGTGTGTGTGTAAGATATACACCACACATTATAAAATAATTTCGCTATCCGTGTCTGCCTGCAATGCAACGCATTTTGATGCGTTTTTTAGCCCTAATTTTAGCAATTTTTTTAACCTATGCGGAACCAAACTTGTATTGGTCTACATCGAACCGACGAGACTAGACACAGAAGCACATTAAGAGATATATGTGATACGATAAAGAGTTCATATTTTCAAATTCCGAAGCTGCACTGTTAGCGAAAGATAAAAGTAGAACATCACAGTAGAACATTAGTAACATCACAGAAAGTTGCACAGTATCACTATCATCAGCCGATGGACGTCTACTGCTATGGGCCTCCCCAATGGTTTTCCTTACACAACGGTCCTGCGTTTTCCGCATCCAGTAGGTCCCTCCAACTCGCTTGATGTCGTCAGTCCAGCTGATGAGGGGTCTACCGACACTGCACTTCCCGGTTCGAGGTCACTGGCAACCTCGTTTCGGGAAGCGAAGTGTCAATGTGTTGCTCAGTAAGTGTACATTAATTGACTGAATGGCGTGGCAAGCTATCACTTCTAGTTCTAAGTACTTCGTTAAAACGAATGATAACTAAAATGGTCGAGGTGAAACTTAAGGAATGACAAATAAAAATATTTAGAGTCAATCTCTCTCTCTCTTTCAGCCTGTCTCAACTCGTTGGGTGAAGGCTTCCTTCAAATAACGCCACCTGTCACGATTTTGTGAGACCTGAAGCCAAATTTTCCCTGCAGCTTTTTAAGGTCATCGTCCCAACGCATCTGAGGTCTTCCTGGGCGACGTGTTTGACCTCATGATCGCCACTCAAGGAGCCACTTGCTCCACGAATCAGTCTTACGTGCGTCAGCCCATTCCCATTTCAGTCAAGTTATGCGGTCGATAACATCAGTCACCAAACTCTGTTGTCTCAGCCACTTAGTCACTAGTCTTACGGTCCCTCAATGTGACTCCGACCAGTTTCATCTCCTTGGTGAAGACCCAGGTTTCAGCACCATAAGTGAGAACTGGTAGAATACATTGGTCAAATATGCGCGCTTTCTGTTCGGCCTTGAGATTTATTTTGAAGGCAAACTCGAGGCAGGAATAGGCTGCCCAGGCTAATCGGACGCGTCTGTTGATTTGGATTCCTTAGTTCTTCTTCCCAGTCACTATCTCCTGCCCCAAATACACGTATTTATCCACTCTTTCTATGGTAGTATGATCAACTTTAATGACTGCGTTGGAGTTCATATTGGTTATAATCTTCGTTTTATTTCAGTTCATTTCCAAGCCGCATCGGATGGAAGCATCGTTGAGTTCTTTAATTATACATTGAAGTTCCTCTGGGTCATTTGCTAGTAAATTGCTTATGCGACAACCCAGTACATTCAAGCCGCAGTCTTTCCAATGCAGAATCAATATAATATACTAACAACCGTATAGTGAGAACAATGTTGAAATGAGTTAATATATGTATGGTTGATATACCTGTAACCTCTCAACTATCAAACAAAAAACGTTGGACATAATCAAACAACATTACAACTAGCATAAAAAACTGGGTTGAATCAACACAAGTATTAAATATTTTGCTATACTACATAGCTCTTCTGTAAGCGTTATTACGCTTTTTGTAAATGATATTATTTGCTGCACGCAAGCTTTGAGACGCAACCAAAATCCTTGTTCTAATATTTTAAAAGCAAACAGTTTACACAACAATCAAAATCACTTTACAATTACAACCGACTAAAATTTGCTAGCAAGCGCAACTTATTCCAACATGCATCTAGAAAACGTCATTGTGTTTAATATAAATCCTTAAGAATATTCATCAAACAATCATTTTTATTAATTTAAGTAGTGACTATTAGTATTATCAGCTTGAGTTGTGTGACATTTGAACTGACCTATCACAGACACTTTGCAGGGTCACAGCTTCATGCATCTTGTGCACCAGTAGTCAGTTGCATATTGTTTAATATTGAATAAAAACAGGTCTTAATTAAAGTGGTAAACCTTAACAAAAGGAGCGGGTACCCGCGACTTAGTCTGCGACATTTAGTTTTTCATGGAAAATTCCATAAGAAAATTACATAATGGGGGATTTTACCCCCTTCCCCCCTTTAAAAGGAGAAGACTTTTTAATTCAGAATAGTGGGTACATCTTTTTAAATCATCAAAAGATGAAGGTACCTAGGTACCATAGGTATTGCTGTCTAATCTATTAATGAACTGGCAATCTGCTTCAGCTTTATGAAGGTGTGTGTGTGTGATGTACTACCAATGACGTATAATATATACACAGGTTATACGCCAACATTATTGAATTTTAAAATGGCACAAGTAGTCACCGTCCCAACTTCCCTTGGCAACAGCCGCCAATAGAGTGCACTAAAGTAGTAAGTAGTCTCTTTCACTCTCATTATAAAGCAGATTACATCTCGCTGTTTAGCCTCTATGTGTCAACGGTGTCAGCAACTGTCAAAATAAGTAAACACTAAATGTTATTACCTTAATTTCTATAAAACTGTTCTAACGAATGGAATGACACGTTTTTCTTGTCTCTAACAGTTCCCTTTTTGTCTGGAAAAATGTAAAACGTTTACACATTGTAGTAAAGTGTGGCCGCGGCAAGAGAGCGTGCCCGACTGAATGCAAGTCGGGCAATTACCTGACTTTCGTATTGCCAAATTAGAAGCGTGTATGACGTATCCATAACTTTAAAACATCATAGCTCTTCGTGATTAATTTTCACAACAAAAAGTTGCCTATAGCCTTTTGGTTGCTTCATGCATCCTGACCGCCAGTATCTAGTTGCATATTGTTTAATAATAAATAAACACAGGTCTTATTTAAGTAGTAAATCTTAAAAAAATATAATAAAATTAGTTCATGATAAAATAAGTACAGCTATTAAGCCTTTACTTTATCACTTAATGTATGTAGGTAGTTATTATGATCATCAATAAAATACTCAACTTAGAACATACGAGAACCACTTCGGAAAGAAATCCCTTGCAGTGCAAGTTTTATAAGTATTTTTTTAGTATTTCTTCTTACAGCAAATTAAGCACATACAATGCAGGTTAGGCAACACTTAAATAATAATATTAGGCGTTGTTAGAAGCTGGTGTCCGAAATAGGCGTTAACCTGTACTACGAATCTCCAGGTCCTAGCCTGGAAAAGAATCTATGAATTGTTCTTAGTTGACCTTAATTACCCTGTATTATTTAATATTTATTCATGGTAAGTACAAGAAATTTAAATTGTTGGGCATAGCAAATTAACAATTGTAACTGAGTCACGTATCTAGAGAAGTAACTTCCACCTTACAGAAGATCATCGTAAATTAACATTACCTTTGTTTCTGTGGGCGAATAAGGTGCCAGTGGGGTTGGTTTTTCTCACTGTTTTTGTTAATCTATCTATATATATAAAACTCAAAGGTGACTGACTGACTGACATAGTGATCTATCAACGCACAGCCCAAACCACTGGACGGATCGTGCTGAAATTTTTCATGCAGGTAAATGTTATGACGTAGGCATCCACTAAGAAAGGATTTTGATAAAATAGAGAATGAAAGTTTGTATGAAACTTTGTCAATTTTAAACCGATCGGGCTGAGACATTGCATGCAGGTATAAGAAAAATTATAGATGAATGTCATTGTGGATAATACAAGCCTGAGAACAAAAACTGTAGTCTACACTTCAGCTCTACACCGAAGCGAAGCAAGGGCGGGCTAGTTGCGCTAGTGATGTATATTTGTGTGTGTTAATTTTTTATTTAATGTTTTCGTTATATTCTTTTCAGTTCATTATGATTTTTTGGATGAATTCCCTATATGATTTGAATGTTATTTCTTTTTTGATTGTGTTTTTTAATTCATAGGGGTTGAGTTTTTATTGTTTGTATATTGAAAAAATTGTAAATATTCATTTCTATATATGCTATATTTTGGACAGTTTTGAATGAGGGGTGTTTATGAAAATTTACGTCACCAGTTGGCGCCACTATTACGTGAGGTCTTTTGTATGAAGTTTTTAGCGCAAACTCCATAGAACAGATTCATAGACTATGAGATCATATGCAATATGACGGATGATTAGACCTTTCGTCTCAGTACTGCCACCTCATTAAATGGTCTATTGTTTGCTGGATTATGTCGTCACAGTGACATTTGTCTATTTCATTTATTTTAAATCGATGTAGGTATTCTAAGTGATACCCATGCCCGGTATATATTTGGTCGTAATGATATTGGCAGATATTTTTTGTAGTATTTCGTTTAGTGTATTTAGGTTTGGGAATAAGTTTTGGGTGTTTTGTCCTGTGGTGCCTATCTACATACCTTTCATTTATTTTGATCTCTATTTCTTTCTTAGCATGCTTTTTATGGTATGAGATTGGAAAATTGTTGAACTATGGTGATTTTTTCAATTTTGTAGCTGCTTTTGCCGCTTCATCTGACAACTCATTTCCGTGTATTCCGCAATGTGCCTTTAGCCATGAAAAGCGGATCGTTATCGTTAGGGATGGGGATAGGGTAGGCAACGTCTGAGTGATACTGTACAGTATCATGAAGTATCTATGGCCAACCGTAGGCCTGTTCTTTTTTATATCAATTTAGTATTTTCCCTAATTATCTTCTACATAATGAAGCAAATTATTTCACAATATATCACAATAACCAATCAATATTAATGGAGCGTGATTCGAATTTCAAAATATCCAATGGAGCAAGTGTAAACTTACTTGAAAATTAATTAAACTCAAATAATGTCGGCAGAGCTAAGTATGACTTCACAAATCTAGCGAAATATGAAACGCAAAGGGGTCTTGTTGACCATTCTACAACCAAGCTTAGACTTACCGATGGTCTTAAAAGTCAAGGATATGATCCACTGGCCACTAATGCGGTCGGACTTGATTTCTCATCGCAATGTACAGGCAGCCACATGTCAAGTAACCCAAAAACAGTCCTGATTTTGAGCTTTATTTACTCAAATTACGATTCATAAGCGATTGTGAAAATTTGTCATTTTGTCATAAATTTACCTGTGGCTGTGTGTACTTTAAAAATACCACTGATATTTTAACTATGAATATGTTTTAATATTGGATTACGTCACATGCAGGCTAAATACTCCTATCCCTTGTTCATACGAAATTACAATGCACAATTTCATGCATAGAGAAATTCAGCTCTTTAATGTTTCCGGTATTTCGGCACCCGTGCCGCATATCGGAAACTTGCTAAAAACAAGGTACATGGTAACAATCCCGTAAATAACATAAATTTCTTTAATGTCAGTGACCATGAATGTTTAAAACTACATATATATTTTCATATATAGAGGAGCTCGATGGCGCAAGTGGTTAGCGCGTTCGGCTGCGATCGTTGAAGTTAAGCAACTTTCGTAGTGGTCGGTCATTGGATGGGTGACCAAAAATTTACTATCTCGAGCTCCTTCGTGCTTCGGAAGGCACGTTAAGCCCCGGCTGCATCTGCATTCGTTAGCACCCACCAATCCGCAGTGGGCCCGCGTGGTGGGTCATGGCCCAATCTCCCTATTCCATCCATAGGGAAGGCCTGTGCCCCAGCAGTGGGGACATTAATAGGCTGATGATGATGATATATTTTCATGCTTTTGAAAAATAGATGCTTCAGCGTTTCAAATTAAATTATTTATTAAAAAAAGATCATAGATACCAACTTTCATAACAATAATTTGTTTTAAAATTTCTAGAACATTTGCGAAAGCCAAAACTGCATTGCTTTGATTAATGTCCACTTGCAGCAAATTTAACTAAAACTAGTTAGGTATAGCCCATACAATGATGTCAAATTGAAATTGACGTTTTGACATGTTTCTGTGGGATAAATCTGGTTTTAGTTGAATCGAGATTTAGCAAATCTGCTACAACCGTGCCTAAGACATTTTTCTATGGCATAATAGATCTAGTTTTTTTAAATCAAGATTTTGCATTATTTATTAGGCCATGTATACTTAAGTCGTGTATTTTTTTTTAATTCAATAGGTTTTGTGTCAAAGTGTAAGTACAAGACTACAAAAAAGATAACTTTCAAATTATAAGCTCGCAGCAGATTCTGTCTTCCATTTTTCCGCGTCGATGACTTAGCTACGGTCGTTTCGATTATAGGTACAGAAAATAATAATTAATAGATTTCAATGCAAATAGCAAAACATCAACTTTTTATTCGTAAATATCTATGTTCTATTTTTAAATAATTTTCGAGCCAGCTTTATTCAAAAGAATCTTTAATTAACTCGACAGGATACTTAACCATAAAATGTGGCGGCTTCCTCAGAAACTGTAGCGGATGATAAATAAAATAAAACGTACCCGCCCATATTGAGTAGGGGTGTATGAACGAAAACTGGTCTATTGACAAGACCTTGCCCTTTCGAGGTCTTTGACAGAAAAGAATATAAATCGTTTACAAAGGCTTACTATACCTGCTAAGAACGTTTTTATACTTTTTATAGAATATTTTTATACTTTTTATTTAAGTCTATAAAGAAAGATTGTCTACATAACTATCATATCGTTAAGTTTTTTATATAGGTACGTCTTCGGGTTATAGCTCTATAAAACATTGTCAGTAATAAGAATTCAATAATGTTTCTTTGTTTGTTTGGGTTATGGTCGAACCATGTGTAAGAATAAACTCACTTTTCACCGCGGAATTCGCAGATGTGATTTAAAATTAGAACACGAATTTCAAATCACACCTGCGAGTTTTATTCTTACAAAATAGCACTGTAGAATAAAAGATAATCTCAATAGATTGAGGTTTGGATAAAAAAATATAGAGTCGGTTGAAATTTATTGAAAAAACAGACCTGCGTTTGACAACTTGACCTTGGTGACCTGACTCCTATCATCACTCCGACCTCTATCAATAGAGGCAATCTGTTGATTACAACAGATTGCCTCTATTGATAGAGGTTCTTCTCTATTTTGTTATCATTAGATAACAAAATCATATAGCATTTATTGCAGAATTGTTTCAATAAGTTTCAAACAACCTTTAATTTTTTATACACATCTTTTCAAGTGGGACACACTAAATTGGTATAATGGAAATTGGAAGACTTAAAAATATTTATATTTAATATTTAGATTTTATGTATTTTTTATTATGTCATTCTTTAATATCGAACTTAGATTATACCAGGATGACCGTTATAACTATTAAAAATAATTAAGTTCATCATCACACATTCTCATCTCTATCCACCTTGAAAGGTCAGGTAAACAGTGGGACGACCCGCTTGCACCATCTCCGCACATAAGCCAGGCCACGCTTGACCACAAGAATGCAACTTCAAATCGAAGGTTGCAAAAGCTTTGCATTTGTCTGTGGTCCCGATCTTTAGTAGAATCCGCTCTGCCGCGAGGCGCACGCGCGTATACTTCGCGCCTTCACCATTCAGTTTTCGAACGCGCGTTCTTAAAAAACTTGATCAGTGCGAGTTTGTGTTTTGTTTTTTTTGTGCCAGTTAACGTACCATAGATTAAAAAAGTCAATCGCTTTTCCATTTTTATGCAAAGAAGTCAAAAATAAAAATATATTAGTGAGCTGTGTCATTGTCAATTCTAATAAATAACATAATTGTCTACTTATATTCCGCTTAATTATAAATGCAAAGCCGCATCAGGTTTAGTTGTTACCTAATATTCGGAAAAATTTAAACGTTGTTTTTCTTAAATTTAAACCTGAATATCTGGGATATTAAAATGTAATATCTATTAAATTAACAAAAAAAGATTTGCATTTCGCTCGACACGTTATCGTGAACGTCCATTCACTTGCAAAGATTCTCACGAAACGAGCTTTTAAAATTAATTATTTTTATACTTAACATTTCAGAAGTTTATTTTATGACCTAAGAAGTGGATTTTGAATTATTTTTGAACTTTGACACTAATAAGTTAAACAAAATTCTTGCAATTTAAGTTGTTTTTTGGCCCTTCCTTCATTCCTCCTGCACCATCACGATGGTGTTTCGGTGAAAGTGAAAAATCAAGATATGAAGAGTAAAATTAAAAAATATACATAAATGTTTACCCGGATACATACAATAACTTAACCAAAGAATAATATATTCTTATTATCAAAACAATATTCTATTGCGAAATGCGTCACACTCGAAAAACAGTGTCTTCTATGACAGCGGAAAAAACTGAATATGTTTATTAACTTATTAAAAAAATCTATACTAAGATAAATATATAGATACAAGAATGGCGCGATGTTACGTTGGAATGAGCGGCGTAGTAGCAATTTTACATACAAAAACGTCTAGTGCACAAGTTTATTTGTTTGCGGTTTTGTTCAAGAAGTTTGCCGCCACCTATGCTGAACTTAATTTAATATTTTATAATGGCAATCTCGACTCAATGACAATATAAAGTGGGATTTGATTCCATATCCTTTGCCTCCAAAGTGGCGTCTTCATTAAAAAGAAATAGTTATTACCTCTGATATTTATCTGTGGCCTATGAATTCATTATACTCAGTGCAAGATAGGCAGGTACCGGTACTTGTTTTTTTTAATTATTCATTTCTACTGATTGAATAAACTTACTATATTTGTAGTCTAGTTCACCGTCATTCACTGTCACGGTTAAACAATCGTAGGAACTCGGAACAGCTAAAGCATTCATAGATAGCAAATAGTCATACAGATCATAAACATTTCAAATCCATTGCTGTTTGGCGCCAATTTTTGAATTTTCGGAGGTTTTTTTTATTTATACGATAGCTTCGTCTTTGTAAATTTTTAACTTAAGTAACTATCTTTTGACAATTATTTGTATTAATAAAGTATTTCAATTCTAAACTTTTACTTTTATAATATTACTTTTGAAAATTCAGAACATACTTAGTTTAAATAAACATTTATTTTCTAAACTGTTTTTAATGTTGAAATGAACTTTTCATTTCAATAATGACATTTCTTGGAAAGTTCTCAAAAAATTACCTTTCACGACTGGTTTCGTAAAGTTTACTTGATTCTTTTTGAGTTACACAATCGTTCTTGCGTTACATTTCGGAATTATTTTCTATATAGGCCATGAGTTTGAAAAGAGTCAAGTCACGCCCGCCTCTGACATCAACATCTTCGTCATGACGTCATTGTGCGCTGTAATTAATGAGTCAGTCCATTATAGTTTCATCATTAGTGGCTTTATAATTTGTATTGATTATAGGATTGAGTAGAATTTTGTACACTTTTCAAACCTTTGTTAATATCTCATTTGATTGCATCAAACACTAAGAAGTTTGAAAAAAACTTAAATCATAAGGTTTATTATCAATAGTCTAATGCAACATAGTTTTTAACGGAAAACTTTTCCTTGCGCATTTTCAACTTTAACACGAGAGCACTAAGGCGTGTCACCTTTACGTATAACCTCAAGGGAGGCGAGAAGCAAGCAGGTTTTTATAGAAATTTAGCTTGCATAACGTGCCTGACGCTTCGGTCGACTCAAGCTCATTTGATGTGCGTGTGTAATCATAAAATTTTTTGCTTAAGACTTTTCTTAGCACCTGAGGTCGTTGTGCAAAAACTGGACGTCGTGATAGAGGTCTAGACACTTCAAGCAATCATTAGTGACCTATCATAGTAGTTTTTATATTAACACTCGAAAGATTTATGTGGTTGCAATTCTCAGTAATACCTACTAAGACTGAGTTGTTTCATTCATAGTTAATTTGACGATAGTTAATGTCACGTCAAATACACAGTAAATGTGTAAAATTTTATTTGGTTCCTTTTTTCTCGTTAATTTGAACTATAGTAAAATTTTACTAAATATAGAACAAACGATGTGAATTTTTATTTGGCGTGACATTAACTAATAGTCAAATTTAACTACGTATGAAACAACGAAGTTAGTTAGTACCACGTGACTAAGACGTATAAGTCAAATTTATCACCAACATTTGTTTTTATAGTTCAATCATATCATAATCGATAAAATACTCGTAATGTACGAATATGTATGATTATTACTGCAATTTGTAAATAAATTACTTGTTAAACCTGATCAAAAACATTACTTCTTCTGTGGTTACATAAATTAAAATTTATGAACACCTCTGTGAAAACCTTTAGGTAACTATGTAATCATGCGGATATTTATTCTTAAGTTCAGTTATTTTATTTTTCTTATTTCGAATATCCCTAGGTATTTATATAAAGTAGGTAGATTTTGCCATAAACTTGAATAGCTTATAACCAAACAAGAAAAATACTTGAGCGTGATTAATTTTCACTGGTTCAGTCTGACTCTACATTCTTTTATTTAGAATTTTATACAATATGATTTTTTTAGATAACTAGACTTTGATGATGATTCGCAGCGTCACCGAGTTTGGGGACGGCGAGATCCTAGAGGACCTCAAGCCGTGAATAGGAGACGGTTCAAATTTAGGTGTTAGTGAGTCCCCGATAGACTCCAAATTTTTATGAGCTGTAGTACTCTTATTTCTAAATCAATTGATTAGAATTTATATTATCCCCGTTTTCTTTAATATCAAGAGTGACAACGCTAATGTTCTCCTAAAAACTTGCTAGTTATCTGAAAAAAGACCTAAGTATCTTAGATATTAACAAAACACAAACTTTTTCAATTTTACACAAATAAGAAGAAAACCATATCGCTCATCTGACGCGTAGATATTTAACACAACAAAATGGCCTAGTACAGTACTGCTTTAGAAGCTTATTTATATACTGTGGCACTGTAATAAAAAAGAAATGTCATGTTATATTCGTATTTTATAACGATATTACTAATAGCTTGTAGTTTTATACACGTTACCTAGAATGTGAAAACAAGGATTTCGCATTAATTACACCGAACAGGATGCTAGCGCCGCCGCCGACGCGTACAATTCCGCTAAACTCTAAAGAAATCCGAACGTTCCAATAATCTAATAAATAACTAGCAACATACATGCAGAGCATAGTGGCCATTCTGACTTAAACTGATAATCGAGTGACATTTCACGTAAATCTTTACTAATCCTAACAAACAGACAGACAACTATAACATAAATTTTTGTTACAATAAAGGATGGTATGTGGTAGCAATCCCGCTTATTTAACAAAAAATATTGTTATGTTAGTGACCATGAAAGTTTAAAACAAAATAATCTTTACTAATATTATTAATACGAAAATAAGTTTGTTTCTTTAACATTATATTACGCTTTCACACTTGGTAGGAACTAATCTGTTTCCAAATAAAAAACGATTGAAATCAAATTGAACTTTTTTACTAATTGAAAAGTAAACAAAGATAAACAACTTTCAGTAGTGCTATTCTATAAAAACAAACTCAACTTTTCACCATGGAACCTGCGTGAAGTTCGATCTATACGAAGAAAACGATACGATTGTTAAGATGTTATTAGAAATAAGTATTTTAAATTTAAATTACACCGCGGCTTCCGAGGTGAAAAGTGTGTTTGTTCATATTGCTGATATAAAAAAAGCTCGTAGGCTATTAGACAATTAGCAATTGACAATTAGTCAATTGTCTAATAGTAAATCTTTCTAAAATTCGTTTCAACGTTAACTCTTAAGCTGTTTACTGTACCCTTAGTACGAGTTTTGATAGTTTTCGAAAACTATGATCGTCTCGTTTTGTTTCCATACATTTCACACCAGCGCCTCTAGTGGAAACTGTAATGAACTTTAATCGGCAGTGTAAGTTAATTTCGTTAATAGACATCCATATAAGACAGAAGTCTGTCATTTTTTTTCTCTAAGCGTGCAAGAGAGATGAAAATATGCACCGTGAAGTTCGTACTATCGAGTTAACGATGGACGATATCTTTGTAATAGACCAGGGTCGATAATTTTTGAGACCAAAAAAAATTATAGTAGGATGAAACCCATTAGAAAAGGTAGAGAATATAACAAAAATGAAAGGAAAAATAAATTACGGGCGATCTGAGGTCGGGAAGGGGGAGGGGGTGAGTTTTTAAGGGTAAAAAATGGTTAATCTCGATTTCCGGTAAAACTGCAAATCCTATGAAAAAAAGAAAAAATTAACTTGTACTACCATTGAAGAGACAAACTGACAGTTTGTGCGAGCTCACGAATACTATCACGAAAACTATCATAGTTTTCGTAATTAAGAAACTCGTACTAAGGGTACTGAATTTAAAACGATAAGAACTCCGTTTTAGCGTGTGATGAAGATGATCAGATGATCTCTACTTCCGCTTCCTATGGCTAACAAACAATATTATGTCATCCTTATAATTTATGGAATTCGTAAAAGAGTCAAAAACACAAATATATATTTAATACCTACGTAAGCTACTTAGGAATCCAAATTACAAAGGCGGAAACCAGGCTGGCCGGTCACATTAGATATAATTAATGTCATAATAATTATAACAGGAAAAAAAAAAATTTACACGTTCTACTGTTTAATATTCAGCACCCACTGACTTTAACAGGCTGTGACAAAAACGGTAATGTTTTTTTTATTATTTATAAAGTTCATCGATAATGATAACTTATTAATTGATTTCTTCAATCAGATTTATAGGTACCTAATAGTTACGAACAAAAACTTTGAATGCCTGAATGATTTATTATTAAACACGAATCGATAAAGAAAAAAAATTAAACATTTTCTAAAGATAGGCTCATATTCAAATATTTGTAAAAAAAATGTACCTAATTAATATTCAAAAAGATGCAATTGTTAACCTAACCTTACCTTTAGTAATTGTATTTTTAGGTGATAGTTTATTAGCTTGTGGGGATCATTTAAATAGGTATATTCCCCAAAGATAGAATACTATAAAACAAAACCCATGACACAGTGAAACTAGATCAAAATAAATATTATGTGCGTTTTCTTTTGTTTATAAACTACTAGCTGTACCCCGCGGTGTTACCCGCGTTTTATTAGGGGTTTTTCCCCGCAATAAAACGTAGCCTATGTGTTCATCCAGGGTGTCAGCTAACTGCATACCAAATAATATTAAAATCGCTCCAGCCGTTTAGACGTGAAGAAGTAACAAACATACACACTCACAAACTTTCGCCTTTATAATGTTAGTGTGATTCTGACACTACAGCATCTTTAAAAATTCAGTTCATTCTGTTCTGTCCATCCCATTCTGTTCAGGCCATCTGTTTTGGCAGATATACTTTATATCTGAAGACTTGACAAAAAATATTTTTACTAAACAAAATAGTTTTTATTGAACCGGTGATTTGTTACCATTTTTTTTGGAAAAAATATTTGCTAACTAGAAATACTAAACCAATTAACTTAATTCATATGTCTCCAAACACAAATTGGTTATGAATGCCAAGTGTTATTTACACCGAAAATTTAGACTAAACTAGTCGAGCAAATGTAGGTAAAACCAGGCTCAGAACAACTTACAGCATTCCGAAAGAATGGGTGCTAGTGTTCCTTGTAATGAAATTAACATTATAAAAACGTTGTTCCGACCGCGCATTTCTTTTAAGAAACCATAAAACTTACATATGGAATTCAAGACTTTTCTTGTTACAGAAATGAGATTAAATTAGGCCAAAACCGCGGAAACCATAAATATTCAATAATATTAATAACGCATTAGTACATTTTTTTACTTTTCATACGACGCGCGAGTTGGCTGTACGTACGCTACACACTTGGGTTTGAAATACTTGTTTATTTGCGAAATGGTGAAGCGTTAATTGATTTATATAATAATCTATGGCACTTTAATCGTTTGCAGGTCAGTTCTATAGTTAGACTAACAGTAATTAGACAAGAACGTAGTGAACTAATATATCTGAATGTCTTCAAATATTAAAAAAGGTGTTGTGTTATCTATTTTATGAAGAAAATTACCATTTTATTGTAACACTCAGAACAACTAAAAAACATCGAAAATGAATCAACAAAAAGTGCTGTGCTGTCTGATTTTCATGATAAGCTGTATCGTTGGTACAAACACTGTCAGTTACCAAGCATCTTTACCAAAATCAGGTAAAAAAATTAATTCCTTACATATTTATTTCCACATTTTTTCCGCTTTTCGACCTGAGATTACAGTATAATGACAATAATTACTGACAACAATGTTAGTTATGTAATTAAATATTTCGGCAGATATTTTAACTAAAATCTTAGTTCTTAAGGCGCAAGGTATACGACAGGTATACAATACGAACTCTAGAGGAGCAGATCCGTGAAACTATAATACTCCTAAATACTACTACTAAACTAACAAAATTTTAGCAAATGCGCACGCGCCGGATGGATTTAACGCTCGTAGCGTTACGGCCTCCTTGCTTGTGTATACTCTTTGCTCATGTAATGCCTACGGTTGGCAGTTATATTAAAAAGCAAATGTTATTATTTTAAAGATTTGAATATGGGAATCTCTTGTCGAACATTCCAGAAGATAGAATTCAGGCACAGAAAAGAGCGGTTGATAGTAAATGATTGTAATTTTCTTGAGTTAAAATAAACTTAAACAAAACTTAAAAGTTGAGGAAATTAAGTGTTCTTATTGTAATAACGATAACAAAGCTACGCTCCCAGGAAAAGCATTACAGTACCTAGCTACCTATGAGCTGGAACATTAACGCTAGTGGTTGATAGCCTGCCTCCCATATAAAAAACATTAGAGCCTTACGCCATTTCCTGACTTGTGGTTCCTTTATTCGTTATTTCGCGTCACCGGGTTAAGACAGAGACCAAAACCCGGTGACGCGTAACCCGCTGTAAATATCATCAGTCCCAAAAAACCCACTTCCGCGTGAGACAATAAATACTTTACTAGCGGCCGCCCGCGACTTCGTACGCGTGGGGTTAGTGATAGCGTGATAACATACTAGCACGCTATCACTAACTCCACGCGTATATGTTGACCCGACTTCTTAATAATATTCGTGCAAAATTTGAAGTAAATCCATGCAGTACTTTTTGAGTTTATCCCGGACATACCTTCTACATACAGACAAACAGACAAAAATTCTAAAAACTATATTTTTGGCTTCGCGGTCGATTTTAGATCACGACCCAAGTATTCTTTAAAAAAAATATTCAATGTACAGTTTTGACTTTCCTACCATTTTATTAAATGTATACAGATTATGAAGCAAAAAGAGTTATATTCGCAATACCAAAACCAAACAATGAGTTCTTGTCTCTTGAATGTTTTTTTTTAATTATAGCTATGTACCTATGCCTATAACATAGAAACTTTTTAAGTAAGTTCTCGATAGAATATTACGAAATCGCACATACTGCCGTTTGCATTGCGCCTTAAACTTATAAAATACCTTCCATGTGTAGCATGTTTCAAATTCTTAATGGCTTACATTTGGTTTTACAGAGTATATCAGAAGTATTGGAAAATCGTATTACGAAAACTCGATTACATCTGATAAAGATCTAAGTAAGTATAAATTATACAACACACGTATTATTAAGTAGAGACTTTAACAATAGTTAAGCTTTAGTATGGATTATTTTTTAACTTAACTTGGCTCTACATGCATGAGGTAATGATATTCCCGCCAAAACATGTCTGACAAGATGAATATTAATATCACGTCGTCGTATGAAAAAAAAGCGGCGACACTACTTTCAAGATTAATTGTTCCAATCTTTTAATTAAATTTCCTTTAACGATTTTCACCACTCATCGCCACTCTTCATCGCTTCTTATTAAATTGGACATTTATCAGTCATGCCTTTTTTTCTGATAATTACAAAATGATCAGCCTTAGTGAATGCTATCGAGTGCATTTTTATTGATAAAAATTACTGGCATAAAGTAATGGAAAAGTTAAATTTAATTTGCTGGTTTAATGATATTTTTTATCTTGTTCTTTATAAAAAAAGCAATTGAACACTCGTGGACCATCAGTGGTGTAATACCAAGAAATATTAAAGATAGTCCACTTGGTATTCGACAGATTGAAAGGCTGAAACAAAAAATAGATATAATTTTTGTAACACTAGGAAGCTTTTTACATTTATTGTATTCAATATTTTCTAGAATTCTACTTTATATGTACGTTTGTTCCGAGACTTGCAATAAATAACTTAATCTTTTCGCGTAATATAATAACCGGTAAAAATACCGTAAATTATATAATTTACGTTAAAAATAAATATTAAACATGATATTTAGAACAAAAACATTCCAACTTGTTCTGCAGTTTAAGCGTTGTTGGTAAAAACGTAACCAATCAGACTAAGCTAATGATAAATATAACTATCGCATTAATTATATACTAGCTGTGCCCCACGGATTCATTATTTATTACTATACTAGCTGTGCCCCGCGGTGTTACCCACAGTTTATATGCGATATTTTCTCGCAGTAAAACGTAGCCTATGTGTTAATCCAGTGTGTCAGCTAACTCCATACCAAATATTAAAATCGCTCCAGCCGTTTAGACGTGAAGAAGTAACATACACACTCACACACTTACAAAGTTTCGCCTTGATAATATTAGTGTGCAGACCCGTCTTACCCAGTGGGCACTATGGGCAAGTGCCCAGGGCCTCGCGATCGATAAGGGCCCCCCTCAGAGCAAATACAAAGTCCCTAGTTCCTGTCAAATCATCAAACGGAAGTCATGGGGGCCCCATTATCCTAATATGCCCAGGGCCTCCAATAGGTCAAAGACATCACTGTTAGTGTGATTACTATATCATGTTAGAACGAATTTAAAGTCAAATATGAAAATATATAAAGAAGTTTGATCATCACACTCAAATATTAAATTTTAGAACTCCAAACTAGTCGTTACGACACCAAACGAAGCGTAATGTCATGTGCGTAACTTTAAACTTTTCCTCGTGATGAAACATTCATAACGACAACCGCATCTTTAGTGACCTGTTTTGATTCTTTCTTCGCGCGTTGCGAAATAAGCAATAACAGGGTGATGACTAATTTTTTTTTTCTTCGTTTATCAGGTCGATTATCAAAAAGTATTGGACACAAGTATTTTTTCTTTTTTCACATAATATAAACATTGCAGAGATATATTGATTTGAAAAATCGCATGACGTCACGTTTTGGTATACACTTTTAAGTGAAAATTCACTAAAAAGTGACGTCACGAGCCCCTACTCCCAAACTTTGACGCGCTATAACTTTGTCGATTTTTGGTTGATTGCCCAAAGAAAAAAATTCGTGTCCATTATTTTTTGATCATCTAACAGACGGACTAAATAGAATTTCGTTTACTGTACCCCGTCATACCCCTACTTTAGGGAGTGACGTAATTACCTTGCCCGTCAATTGTAAATAAAAATAGGAAGAGAAGTAGGATTTTTTTAGTTATATTTTTATTTATCAATCGTTTCACTGCTAGTTGTCTAAATCTAAAGAAATAGCGCATTCGGCTGCAACTGCTGAAGCTAAGCAACTTACGCAGTGGTAGGTCATTGGGTGGGTGACAAAAATGTTATTACCTCGAGCTCCTCCGCGCTTCGGAAGGCACGTAAAGCCGTTGGTACGGACCTCATTTGCAGTCGTTAACACCTACCAATCCGCACTGGGCCCGCGTCGTGGGCCATGGCCCACCCCTATTCCATCCATAGGAAAGGCCCGGACTACCGTCAAAGCAATGGGGGCATTAATAGGCTGATGATGATGATCGTAATGGCCAGTACATTTGCTCCAGATAGAAAAAAGGTCTGCGCTGATCCGTTGCCAGCTTAGTTACCGCCCAAACCAGTTGAATTTTATTATTTTGTCTTTTACTCGGCCTTGTGCAAAAAGTTAAAGTACATATAATGAATGATTTTTTTCCGGAGAATTTTTGGTATGGGCGTTGACTGAGCGCGACATTGCTTGCATATATTCGGCGTTGTGCGTGCGTGTCGGCATTTCGGCACGTATGCCGAATTTAAAGCAACCTCCATGGGAATTTCTTAAGACATTGATGGAAAAAATAAACACAAATGAACACAGTACTTACGTTGGTATTTAAACTTGAAAACACTTCAGTAATTTTAAAAGTAAAATGCACATTATTCGGTGATTTCATATTTTTAAATCGCACTATAATCTTCGAACAGCATTCTTATTCTTGCGTTGTTATTTTTGCGTTGACAATAATAAATACTTTTTCTGTCTTCTCTATTTTTCAGTGTTGTATTCCAATTGTGCTTTTAGCTAGGGATTTGGTCGCAATTCAGGTATATGTTTTCATCGTCTTTGATACCAAGACGTAATGTAGTCTTCACCTATGTTAACTAGAAAAAAAATAGTGGCGAAGTTAGGTAACTCTGTTTTTTTTTTTCTAAATAATATCAAAATTGTAGAGATAAAATTATGTCAAAAATTATACTATCGTTTCTGTTATCAATTTAAATCTATGAAATACATTTTTATAGATAGTGAAATTATAGATAGCAGGAGTCTGGATAGTGGGAGTTTTTTTAAAAATAATTATAAACTGCCAGAAAAATAGTTTGTACAATATATTTCCATCGTGTTTTAAATTTTTTTTTTGTGTTTTATAGAGTATATGTAAATCTGAGAAAAAGTTCGCAGACATCTACAACTGATTTAAGATTTTATTTTTTGGAGCGTCTAACGTGTTTTGCAGCATGTATATTTATCTCTTTCTCTTCGTGACCTTTATTACCGATATTCGTTTTACTTTTATTTTCCATGCTAACAAATATAATATACACAATAATATTGTTGAGTGTGTATTTGTACTCCCTTGCAGCTGTCCTCAGGCAGTAAAATACTTCCGCCTTCGAAAAGACAGTATCGATTTTAACTGCCTTTTTAATTTTTATGCTTCTCATAACTAACAGAAATAGTAGACTAAAAGGCAGAAACGATCTTATGATTATTTTTTTTAACGTACAGATCCCTATATTTACTTTATTTTTGTCTTCAAAGAGTTCGATGTCACGCAATTATTGTAAGTACTTTCAAAATATCTAACTGAAGAAAAAATATTGACATGATATTATTCTGGTATTTACTTTATGATTTATTATCACTCTTAATCAATGTTGTTAAGTTAATATTTGCTTTAATTTCATTTGTGATTTTATGATCATCACAATCAGTCTATAAATGTCCTCACTGCTGGGACACCTTTCCTTATTAACGGAATAGGCAGATTTGGCCATTGTGATTTCGTAAAAGACGGAAATATTTAAACATGTGGAAATAAAAGTACGACGAGAACATAAGGAGATCTTTATTAGTATTTGTCTGTTAAGTGTTTATGGTAACTGATATGGCATTCGTGTAGTGTTGTAATACCTACTACCTACCTTCAATGGAAACACAGAGCATGACTGACCTCTTTGTGACTATTTAAGCTTATTTCCTAATGTTGGTTGAAGACGCGTAACGCAATGTCATCTCACATACAAGTACGTACTGCCCTTTAACATCATACTTCTGAAGCGATAGGCTGCAGATAGACGACGCGAAAAAATTCTTGCGGCCGCCGGCGTCCACTCCTCGAATACACGGCGGCCGCGCGGCGGCCGCGTGGTCTCAGCGCGATCGCTGCGCAGTTTGTTACTCACAAAGAAATCAGTTATTAAGCGACCACAGCGCGGTGACCGCGCGGCCGCCGTGCTGTCGCCATACTGTCACCGCGCGGCCGCCACGCTGTGACATTCTGTGTCATATAAACGCGCCCTAATACGTCATCGTGAATTGTACATACATACCCTAAACACATTACACTCTTTTGTGGGCAGTCGTGTAAGAAAAAGTAGAAAAGCATTTTCTTTTAATAATACTGTAAAGACAATTTCAAATATCTCCGTATGTTTTTTTGCTGATCATCAGGCTCCTACTAGATACAATAAGTTTTTTTTGGTAAGCAAATTGCATATAATGAGTATTGCCACACATTGCATTACAAAACCCAGGAAAAAAGAATTATCATAAATTCAAATAACTTTTCCAAACCTTCCGAAACTTTTGTAACGAGTATTTAGCTCAGCTTAGCACACATTGTCAATATTGTTAAAAAGAAAACCCAACAGAATAATTATCGCACCAGTATCTTACTTGTCGTTTTGGAATTCAAGAACCGTAGTATTTGGCAATGAGATCTCCTCAAGCAAGCATCTGTTTGTGGCTCATTAATCATTACACAACACACGTTTGCCGTTGCGTGTCTAACTGCATCAAAAAATACAAAACAATGAATTATTATCTCACCAATCCAATGGCAATCATATAAAATAGCCCGGCAATTTTCATCACAGTACTTATGTAGGTAGATAAGTACCACTCACTTTCTAAATAAAACGAGAAGTGTAAGTAATAGATAGAAAAGCAATCACAAGGCAATATTGGCCCGACCTACTACAATGTATAATATTATTTACCTACAATGCCAAGAGATGGCGCTGCCTTGCAGCCTAAGGCTAGAGAAAATTCGACACGGCCGTCAGGGCCGCGGTAGCATAATGGTCAGTACATTCGCACGGATAGCTAAGGGTGTGGGTCTGAGTCCCGTCTGCTGCCTGGTCCGCGTTGAATTTTTTGTAGTAAAATTTTCTTTACATTTAAACATCTACCACTTAAATGCTTGAAAACATAACAAGGCAATATTCCTAAATAAATTGGTCAAACATGGCTATAGGGATAATGTGAAGACTATCGATAGAAAGGAGAGTAAAAACAGTTGTTTAAATACAAAGAATGAACATGTAACGTTTTGTCGTAGAACAATTTTGTGTGGGAATAAGATAAACTCGAAATGCACAAACAATGACTCAATAAAAGCCAGTAGTTAATATTCTAGACTAGAAAGTGAGACTAGACTACTGCGGATAAAGCAGTTCTTGATAATGGGAAACAACAAAAAGGACAGAAGGTAGCAGCACAAACATCCAGATACAAATAGAAAAAAATATTCTCTTCATACTGACATGGAATCAAAACTGGGATAGGTCCGGTAAGAAGTTCGTTTTAGGCTTCCGTACGCAAAGGGTTAAAACATGACTCTCTCATGAACCGTGATAGACTGTTGAAGTTTTCACAGATGATGTACAGTAGAACCCGTTTAATACGCTCACGCTTAATACAATTATGCGGCATGATACGCCATTTTGCGTCAGTTCCTGCAACTTGAGACATGTTTTCATACATTTCTTAACGCTTAATACGATTCGTCATCCCGTTTAATACACCTAAATCGCCAACACGTACCACAAATATTACCTCTTGATAACACACAAGAAGATGCCCTAAGTAATAATAAAAAAGAAGAAGATAAGTCAACTTCGATTTTGTCACACGCCCAGGCATTATCAGCAGTTAATGAATTAAGAAGCTACGTAACTTTTTTGAATCAAAACGAAGACGCACTGCAAAATATAAATTATGTTGAAAATTTAGTAATTGGTGGTGCCTCAAATCTTTTTGTCAAACTAAATATGTGATTATTTTAAATAACGTAATAATAATACACTACATTTTATGTAACGTACAGAATTCTTAAATATTGTACATATAATACCTCAACCTTCATTCGACATAAGAATAGAATATAATAAATATTATTATGTAGTACGTCTTTTCCACTATCCCGCATAATACGATTTCCCGCTTAAGACGCGTTTTTGGTTGAGTTCCTTTGAAATCGTCTTAAACGGGCTTTACTGTATTTTTTATTGCTGCTATAACAAAACAACATACTTAAATCAGATTTAAAGAAAATTTCAGTGGGACTTGAACAACAATCGTGTTTTTTTTTGACGTTTTCTGCTCATTTTTTTTAATTTATTCTGGCCGTGGATCGTTTTCTGCTCAATATTATAAGTGTTGTAATAGTAAAAATAAAATGTCATACATTTGCCTAAACGCGGTTGAAACAAAAAGTATTATCAATTTTGATTACAAATATTTAAATTACAACACTTAAAACTTATAATCCGAATAATCTTAAAACTTACCTACTTAAGTAAATACAAGTTACAAAATAAAAAAAAACGACGGGTTGCACTCCGGGAGTGCCGGCAGAAGTGAAAAATTGAATATTAACGTTGTGCATTTTTGATATTTTAGAAAGGTTAGAGAATAATTTTGCACGAATGGCTTTAATTAATCAGTTTCAAAGTACTATCATGTATGTGGTTGAATACAATATAATAATATAATATTGCGCTGTCGTACACAAACATGACAATTTATATTATATTAAAAAAGTTTATCTCTCAGGAAAATCAACTTACATGAATCATGTTTAAGCGCACTTAACGACATCTATTGTAAAGAATTCAACTTACATGAATCACATTTAAGCGCACCTAGCGACATCTATTGCAAAAAATTGCATAGTCTTCGGAATAAATCTGCCACGTGGACGTCCTAGATAGATACTAATTATTATAATACGATAAAATAAAATATTACTATGTTTCGTCCAATATGTTGAAAATCAACAACCTTTCCAATTTTATTGTGTGTCATGATGCCCACGTGTTTAACCTGACGTATGATTAACATTTTTTACCCATACAAAAAAAAGTGTACAACGCCGATCAAGAAGTTTTTACTTCAAAAATATGACACTCAGCACCGTCGTCAGGAATGGTGCCCAATAGGTTGGCAGCATTTCCTCGTTGGATAGTAAGGCTAATCCGTTTACCAATGTAGCTTTTGATGGCAGTCACCTCAATGTCTCAGACAATTCCTTAAAGAAAGAACGAGCGCTTGGGCCCCATGGTCCTATACTCTCAACACCAAACAGTACAAATATGTAGTTCTCATTGAGAGCTCAATATTTTTTGCCGCTTGGGGCACTCAGCAGAGGTCAGCACCGCGCCAGCAGCTAAAGAGGTACTATCTGTATGGCACAGAGCAAGCGCAAGTACATCCACGCAAGTAGCGTCCCATACAAGAAGACGACCCTGCTACCAAAGAATCAGCGTCATTCTGTCAGTTGTCTTGCCGACGCCGGCTTTAGAACCGGCACATTGCTAAAAAAAGCTGGTCGGTCGAGACCCCCGCCACGCCTGTGGTGGGGGTCTTGATCGACCGGCGCTCTAACTTTGCAAGTTCTTCAATTGTAATGACGTATTATCCCGCCTATTGTAAGATGAAGGATTGTTCTATTTGGGAATTATGTGATTTGATTGCTTGATTTATTGATTTATATATAATTAAGTATATGTTTCATTGTTACAGAGTGCACAAGCTGCAATGATGATGAGCTGGGTGTCACACGGTGGACGATGCCTCTGCTCAAGTCTGGAGAGAAGCGATATTACTTAGGAATCTTTTTCAAGGTACACTTTTTTCTTATTGATATTCTTAAAAGGTGTTCCCTCATTAAAATACTATCGCAAAGAAAGTAATAATTAATGGTGTCGATTCTGTCACGATTCTCTAAAGTTCTAAACCTAAACTTAAGTTGGCAAGCAGTGTATCTTTGTCATTCTCTATACAGAATGAAATGGAGATACTGATGTTAAATTTAGCTTAATGTTCAGAGAAGAGAGAATGACATATAGAGTAGCGTATAGAGATTCATGCCAGAATCGACACCTATATCAATTTTAGTCAAACAAACTTTTAATAGCTAATTAAAAGAAAAAATGTAGGTTTAGACACGTGAAAATAATGGAGTAGGAGAGACGTGACATAACTGACGTATCAAATTATATAACTCGAAATGAAGAAAATGTAGAAGTAAGAAAAATAAAGACTTTTCTTTATTTATTTACACTTAAGTATATTAATATGAAAAATTGCATGTACGTCTCGTCATGCACTGTAAAAAACAGGCTTATAATGAAGTACACTTATTAAAAAGTTTTAAGCAACATGTCTACTGTTTTGGACATTTGAACGATTTTTATTATTGTAATATATTTATACTGGTGTTGTTTATTTTATATTCTTTAACCTAAACTTAAATTTGATAACAGTGTATGCTTGCCATTCTCTAAACAGATTGAAAAGGAGAGACTGATCTTTTATGTTTTATGTTTAGAGAATCATGCGAGTATCGACACCACACATAAGATAAATTTTGCTAAGAAAAAAAAATGTGTGCGTGTACTAGTGTACACACGTAAGAAGTGAAACTTCTTTATGGCCTTATTTTTCGAAAAATGATCTACATGCAACTTTCCAGAAATTGGTTAAATAAAGTTAAATTAGATAAAGTTTAAACAAAAGGATTTTATTATCATAGACATGAATACAAATTACTGCCTATGAAACTGTTATGATTACACGGCTCAGTAATCTAAGGCACATGTTCCACCTCGATGAACGATAAGCGAGTAGAAACTAGAAACGAATTGGCAGTCCTGAGTTAAAATGCACGCGCACGGCTTTTGACAGCCAAGCCAGCTTAACCGAGCGAGTATAGCTGAGCGAGTATCGCTGAGCTAGTATCGCTGAGCGAGTATCGCTGAGCGAGAATCGCTGAGCGAGTATCGCTGGGCGAGTATCGCTGAGCGAATATCGCTGAGCGAGTATCGCTGAGCGAGTATCGCTGAGCGAGTATCGCTGAGCGAGTATCGCTGAGCGAGTATCGCTGAGCGAGTATCGCTGAGCGAGTATCGCTGAGCGAGTACCGCTGAGCGAGTATCGCTATGCGAGTTTGGCTGAGCGAGTCTTATGTTTAATAACAATTGTCACTCAGCTACAAACGAGTAGAGAGAGTTCTCGCCGGCGACAGTGTGATCATTCAGCTATCAACTATTAATATAAATGTAAATTTTTTTCCAACGCCGATAAAGAAGTTTCACTTCAAAAAAGATGGCGCGTAACGGAAAAATGTGACGCGTAACCGAAAAATGTGACGGTAAATTTTTTTCCAACGCCGATAAAGAAGTTTCACTTCAAAAATAATATTAATTAATAGCACATACCAGATTCTGTAATTGATGCGTGTTGCTTAGCCTATTTTGATGCGTGTAAAAAAATAAGTTTTTTTCCGTTCAAGTTAAGGCAAAACAAATTTACAAATAAGTTTTTAATTTAAACATTTAGCAATTAAATGCTTAAAAATAAATAAAATCATAAATAAGTTTGCGCTCACGCATCGTGTAACATAACGAATTTGATCGATTCTCGCTTTCTCTTTCATTCTGCGTAATAACGGCCACGCCCATTGAGCTCTATATCTGAATAATACGTTTCGTTTAAATCGTAATTAAAACAAATATAAGCAACTTTCTTTAGGTAGGTATTGGACAAAAGAGCGGTAAGGTAATATAACAAAGGAAAATAAACAATGCAGATATTAATTATTGGTATATTAACATCAAGACTATTTTCTCCATATGTTTAGAATTAAAACGATATCACAGAATTAAATGTAATTTATTTCTTAACGATTTTACTCTTTCATTTTAATTTTAATGAAAGGATTTAAATGCATGTTAATATTGTTCATGCTGGTTTGCAAGCGAAAGAAAAACAAAATATGTATATGCCAGCTGCTGTACCTTTCTTGTGCAGATACGAGTAGTACGTCTATCAACAGACAGACATATATATCTAATTAGTATCTTCTTACCTCCTCTCAGTATTTCTCTTCTCTTTCTTTGTCTTTATTTCTAACAATATCCCTAGCAGCCTAGTGGTTGACATCTTTATCAAGATTTAACCAATTTTGGTGTTAATCACGTACCCACTTATATTTTATCTTAACACGCAAGATCCCAAAACGGATCTAAAAAAATTAATACAACAGCATGCGATTATATTTTAATTTCACTTTGTTTATAATAAAAATAGAAAAGATCATGACCATGACATGACCTAATAAAACATCAAAATTAATTGAATTCGCTTAGTGTGATCGATAGAATACTTTCTTAAAAACAATATTTGTATATACTATAAGATTTGAACAACTCAAACACAGTGTACTTATTGCCCTTGATTTCTACGGATGTCCGCTGTTTACGGTTACGATGGAGCGGATGAGATAGTACCGGCAACGGATATTTGGGGAAATAGAGGATATGTTTGCGAAGAAGATATCTGATTACTGACTGACCCCGTCTGCGTACGTTGTTGGGTTTTCTTCTTTTGTTTTATTCGTCCTGTAATGATTTTATTGGGTTGATTTATAACCATCAACATTATAAAACAAAACATTGGTTCAAAAACGAAATACCTATTAATAAATCAATTTATATTACAAAACTCATGATGTTCCCCGAAACAATAGTGTTTCCAGAATTATACTTTATCGACGGAGATACTTTTACTGTCTATACTGAAAAATTAACAGCGAGCGAATTCTGTATATTTTCACGTTGCCCGTCCAGCATGGGAAGTCTGAAACTGAAACTCTTATTTCAATTACTAATCTTTGTATTCTTGGCAAAGTTTGCATAACTTTTTTAATTTGCCAAGTTTGAAAACTTCGATCAATCAAAATTCTTAACATTACGTTGTCGGCTCTTTTGATTGGTTCGCGCCTCCTGCCTTCATAGATACATGACGCATGAGTACACTTTCTCCAGTCATTATTGACCATTAAATTGAATTATGCAGGAGTATTAATTAACCGAAATCGGAATCGGCAAAGCGTGCTTGTTTAACTGGGACAGCTGTTAATATGCCCTCCCACTTTATGCGTTTAGATATTTCTTATAAAGCTAACTCAAATAGAAAGACGCCTGAAATAAACAAATATTTTAATAAAGTGGAAAATGTTTATGTACTCATTTTCTTAATAACTGTTTGTTTACCCAAACAAATAGAAAAAAAAGAAATGAAGGTTATCGCGATACATGAAACGTGATTTTTTCGAATTGTTTTATCAATCCTGTTTTAAATTTTATCCTACTATGGATAAGGAACCCTATAGTGCGATTCAAATAAGAATAGGAAAGCCAATGACCTCCATCTGTCAAATGTCGCTTGAAAAGTACGGTATGTAAAAAAATGCTGGAAACCTTTTTCAGCACTCAGCTAATTCTAGAATAAAAACCAAACATTTGTAAACAAACAATAACAAATATTGATAATAAATATTGTTTTTTTTTATTTATTGATTTTTGGCTATGAACGGTTGATAACCTAAATCGTCAAACAAATGTCACTTTAAGTTGCTTTCAGAAACTCGATTTCAAACTTTCGTTTACATAAAGGATGCATGTTCATATGTGACCTAGTAATAGTGCATGATTATTCATAACTACGGTAATGCAGAGGTGAACGGAGTTGAAGAGCTAGATTCTGATTAATGTTTTTCTCACACTATCTTAATAAATAAATGTTATTAAAGATCGGTTTTTTTTAAATAAATTTTATTAAAAAATCTGATGTTTTTTCTCACTTAATCTTAGTAAATAAGTTTTATTAAATAAAACCTTTTTTTGCTTACTCTACCTATTTGGTTTGAATTGACAGTTATGACGTCACAATATGGCGCCCCGTCGGTCCTATTCTTAGTTGAATCGCATTATACGTTGGGTCGATTTTCATATTTATCACTTTTTCTTCGTTTTATGCAAATAAAATTAAACAAAAATAAAAAAACATTATTAGGAACATCAGCCAACCAACGTTCCCACTACTGGGGCTAAACCCTTTCATTGAGTAGTCTTATTTTTTAAGTGTAGTTTTATTAGGGTTCTGTACCTCAAAAGGAAAAAACTAAACTTTTATCGAATCACTTTGATGTTCAGCTGTCTGTCTATCAAGACCCTTTATCTCGGAAACCAAAGCGGTATCGTGCTTAACTTTAAACTATATACTCCACCAACGATCCCTTGAAGTTGTGATAAAATCAAACTTCTAAGTTTACATGAAAAAAAGATTCGGTAATTCATGGTGGCGTGCCCTATTAGTTTGTGCGGGACCTTCGATCGGCGAGTCGGGCACTAACTTTTCCGGGTTTTTAAGTATATATTACGTAACCAAAATATTTTTTGAGAGTTGGATAAATATCAAAAATGACCAAAATCAATCTTTTCTTTTCATAGCTCAAGTAGCTATTACAAATTCGTCACATCATAATTTTTACCGCCAACGGCGATCTATCTATGAGCGAGTAAGTGCGATTCGCGAATGGCTTAATAATCGGTTTCCAACAGTTTCCAAGCAATTAGCCACGACGCCAGTGTACTGGAAACGAAGCTCGGCCACCATGCAAAATCTAGTGGACACCCTAGACTGACCCCGTGTGACCTGAGGCTGTGATAATTGAATCACTCGATCTCGGTCATGTCAGTAAAATTGGAGTATAGTATTACCTATACATAGTAAATGTGTAAAATTTATTTTTTTCTATAGGATTTATTTATCGATTGAATTACGCGGCCTTTATTACCTATTAAAGAAGAGAAGTTTAGTGTAAACGGAAGTCCTTGTCTCGCCTCAATAAATTAGAAATAGGTTTAAATATATATTTTTAATTCTTAGGGATTGAAGTGAAATTCGTGACAGAACTGAGCATTAAAACTTGATTTCTTTGTTAAATTGTCGCGTACACAAGTAATTTATTAAAACACTATTTTAAAAGACATGATACCTTTGCTTCCCCTCAATGGGCTCCTTACTTTATAGCTGTTAATGTTATTTAGACTGGATTTCGAGTAAGCACGAAATCTGATAATGGTCCGAAACATCAAGAAATGTGTGAAAATCCAATTTACGCGGTTCATAAATGTACGTAATTTGCATACTACTCGAAATGCGCTTACGAAAAATGCATATTTGCATAATTTTCAACAAAATCTTTAATTATTTTTTTACGAATGAGAATTTTGCACGATTTTCCTGTAACTCTTGAGAAGAAAATGTTATTACCATTATTGCTGTGTCAAGTATTTGTAGAACAAGGAAAATATTGTTTGTCCCGTTAAAATGAATTTGAGCTATCAAGAATTTATTTATATTATAACGTCAATATTATTCCATGGAAAGTTTCACATAAACTTAATATATATCTGTTCAAGTATAATCTTATGCACCATTTATTTTTAACATGTTGATTTGAGATATTGTAATAAAAAGGCGAGTTTTATAAAGTTTAAATTTTTACCTAATAGCCATGCCATGCCATTTTTTGTAGTACTTACAACTTTACAACAAAATATTTTGACAACAGTTTTTTTAAGCAATCAGTTTTCGCATAGTAGTGTATATTTGGATATTTAAATAGAAATTCGCTAATCGCTTAATTTGTATACAGACTCATCGACATTTTTTAATTAAATTTGGCATGTGTTTTAAATTTGATTGGTTTTATGGCTCTACAGTATTATCTACTGTGTTATAACTTATAACTATGCTTATGGCGTGCTTACACTTGGTCGCTAGCCCGATAAAGGGGCCAATGGAATTCGGGTAAGGGACTAAGTGTAAATGAACAGAGTCCAGTACGCCCGTATTCGGGTAGATGTCGTGTTGTTTACCCGACACCGGCTTCCAGCCCGTATTCCAGAGTAAATATTGATTCGGATGTCCGAATCCAAGTAATGTCTTTCGTGCACCCGAATACGGGCTATCGACCAAGTGTAATCGAGATTTATGATTATATTAGATGCTCGAAAATGTTTACTCATACCTGTTATCGTATACTTTTTCAACTTTTCTTTTATTCAACGTCTTTACATAGATGTTATCTCACGTATTCTATCTACGACTTCGAAATTATCTCATTACTAATGTTGCGGCATCGTTTCAACGGACATTTCGCGCCAATTCACTACCATTACAGACGTTCCTAACAATCGCCGACTTTGGACTTTCACTACAAGCGAGTAAACCGGTTACCGGTTACGCGCGTATTGTCACTTGAACGGAATGCGACATTGAACTCTATCGTTTGCGAAATAAAGAGTTCGGATCCGATGACGTCACCGTAACTTGTTTGAGTTGTAGGTAGTAGTATCAATACTATCTCGTTTTAATTATTCGATTTGCAATCAAAATGTAATATTATTAACGAGTTATAAATGTTTATCATTCTAATATTAACACATTAGACAGTTTTACTTAATGTAGTGTAGCCACAATGCTGTATTATAATTATTTGACAATAAGATGGAAACATTGGCATAATCAATTTTGTAAATATTGTTACAAAACTTAATGCTGTGAAGTTATTTTCGCCTGTTTTTCTCCACAGCTAAAAAATGACAATATGTGGTAGGAGAAAATATGTTGTATCATGCTTCCAATTTGAATAAATAAATTTTGATCTTGGTACTATTACACGTATACTTAAACAAGACTAAATACTTGTACTTTGTTCACAACGACGTTAAATCGTTGTTTGTGTAATTTAAAATACCCGTTTATAGCATGTTAGCATCTAATAGTTTCCAACTAGAGAATAGATAACAAGTTATATGTATTATTTTTACTAATAGAATATGAGTCAATGTATCGAGGCTTATTGATGCAACGGTAAAGATTCTGCCGTTTTCACCAAAAGTTCCTTCATCGAATCTCTTATAAAAGTATTTATATGTGAGATGAACAAAAAGATTACATTCCTAAATTAGCATGGTTATTTACGTTATTTAGTTTTCATCGCACAATTAACAAGCTGAGTTAATAGTTGTATGTTATCCAAATTAATTATTCATCATCATCATCAGCCTATTAATGTCCCCACTGCTGGGGCACAGGCCTTCCCTATGGATGGAAAAGGGAGATTGGGCCATGACCCACCACGCGGGCCCAGTGCAGATTGGTGTGTGCTAACGACTGCAGATGCAGCCGGGACCAACGGCTTAACGTGCCTTCCGAAGCACGGAGGAGCTCGAGATAGTAAATTTTTGGTCACCCATCCAATGACCGACCACTGCGAAAGTTGCTTAACTTCAACGACCGCAGCCGAACGCGCTAACCACTTGCGCCATCGAGCTCTAAATATAAATAAATAAATTATTATTACACAAAATAAAAAAGTCACTGGAGTTAGTAGAAGTACCTACCATTAATAATGCTCAACAAACTTGTTTGTTTTATACATTAGTCTGTCACACAGGGTAAATGTGTTTCCCCTGCTGTGCACTGTTGAGCATGCCGCGTAACCCTAATTAAGGGTAGTTACATCATTTGCTCAACAACAATTTTCCTAAATATAAATTTATGATGAAACAACTGCGATATATGAGTGAATTCGGAGTTGCTTTTTAACTGGACTTAAGGTATAATAAGGAGCTCGATAACGTGATTGTAGAAGTTTAACAACTTTAGCAATGGCTGGTCATAGGATGGTTGACCAAAAATGTGTTAACTCGGGCTCCTCCATGTTTAAAAAGAAGGCACGTTAAGCCTTTGATTACTACCCACCGAAGACCTCTTTTAAAGTTTATCAAAAATAAAGTATCAGGAATAGTTAATTAAACTATAATCAGTATTGCCATGTGCAAAGTTTTAATTTTTGCAACTGTCAGTCCACTGCAGAGTTATCGTGGTCCGACTTGTTAACCAATAAGTTTTGATTGCCATTCCACAAAATCTTTACTTACCGAAAAATATTTTATTAGGTACCTATATACTAATACATTCACACGCCTTTAGGCGTGCGAAGCACCTTTAGAAAGCTATTTTTGCAATTAGCCACGACATAAAAGATGATTGTATTCTGTGAATGCCACCTGTGTCGAACAGATGTTACAATCTCAATAAATACATATAAAGCAGTGATGTGATGGAGCTTCGTAACCGTAACCGAAACTATTTGATATCTGTTTTTCTCGGTTATCCTCTGGTAACCGTTGAAAAAAAGCTTTGAATATTTTGGACCGTAACCTGGTGCAAAGTAAAAGTTTATAATATTTTAGATTCGGTACAATATAATGACAATAGAACCGTATTACTACATCTCCTCTATCCTATCATGGTCCAAATACAAATTTTCACGCATTTTGTAACTTTAATACCAAATACATAATAAATTTTTATAAAATAAATACTATATATATTATAATTATTTTACGTATCATTCAGCGGAAGATTTGTTAAAAACTCTTCTCTAAGTAATCTTTAGAATGAATAACATAGAACCAAAAAAAAGGAACATGTATTTTCAACGACATTTTTTTTATTTCTTTTAACAAAATGTATTCTAATAATTAATCTAATAGTCTGGTCTTCAACTGTTGTCATATTTGCATAAATTTAATTTAGCCTTCACAAATTTCAGAACGATCTCTATTCGAAAACATACACTACTAGTTATACTTCCCCGTGTTGGTCGTTATAGCACAGATATTGTATACTTCTTTTAGCCACCAGCACATAACATAATCAGATTTTTATAGGTTTCATTTTAAATTGTGCAAAACTTATTGAAAACATCTGTTATTGTGTTGGAAAATAAAAATATATTATTATTTTTAAGTATTCATATGTCCGTATCCAAATACGAAATTTTATATCCGTTACATCTCTAATATAAAATTAGTAACACTCGAACATCATTCAGTAGAATGGGGAAAGTATTGAGTGTTGGTGTTCAATAAAGGTGTTTATGTTAGTACAGATAGGATCAAAACAGAAACTCACTGATACTGCGAACTTAACTCTTATTTCTAGGAACTCTAAGACCATTTAAAACCAAATAGTTCCCATCGTTGTGGAGCCTACAGTAGGTACGATGACTTGCAGTATTGTTGTTACGTGAGAACAACATAATTATTTTTATAAAAGCTCATGTATTGTAGTACAAAAGTGTTGATATTATCACTTTGAAATTGGACTACAATTTGAAGTTATTAAAAGTAAATACCTCCCATTGAGTGCCAATAAAAGAAAGATGAATGTATAGTTATTCTAACTGAAATTGGAATAAAAAGTTCTAACAAATTTTAAACTATTTATTAATACGTAAAATTACTAAATCATAGAAAAACACAGCATACTAAAACTTCCTTTTGGTGGTCTTGTTTCTGTTGGTGAGTAAGGTTCCAGGGAAATGCTTTGGAAAACGCTAACACTTTCGATTTTATTTTGTTATTTCTGACCGCCGAAGGTTTTCAAATAACTCAAGCTCATTTTTTTAAATATTATTATTACCAACGCAAAAGAAAAAAAAAAGAGCGCGAGGCATTTGAAAACCTCAGGCGGCTAGAAATAACAAAATGAAATCGTAAGCGTATGCGTTTTCCTAAACATTTCCGTTAGGCGAATGGCCCGCAGGCAGGGGTTAGGGCATTGGATCAGGGTAGGCAACATTGCGAGTAATATTTTCTGTATCGCAAGTGTCATAATGCTATGGTAACCTCTTACCATCTGGTGAGCAACGATATTTAATACATATCGTCAGTCATATGCTTGTTTACCTTGACAAATAACAAAAAAAGTTCAATTTTTAACAGTTGATCGAGTAATGGCCAGACTTGAATTTCACCAACTATCTCTTATTGACTGAGTAAAAAATATATGTGGTGTTATCCGATGTATAATAAACTACATAATTCTATAAAGTACTTTTACAAATTATTGCCTACAAATTTCAGTATCCGCTCTTTAGTTCTTGTTACATAAAAATGTTTTCCTATATTGCCACTGTATGTGTTTATAAACTTTTATTGGTCGTATTACCTTTCATGCATTGAATCAATAATTTTTTTTTCTTTATCTATTTAGAGGTTCATTCTACAAATATGCCAGCCTCATCGTATCCTAACCAAAACTTATATAATTTAATTTAAAATACCGCAGAGGGCGAGCTACTCTTACAAGCGAAAACCATATAAATTATGAAAAGAGCTTTCAACATATTTCTCGCGTAATAACTAAATTTCCAATGCCAAAATCATCATTTTAGAAAATATCTAGGAGACTATACATGATTCTGGTCATCAAAAGGTTCTGGTCATGAAAATGGAAAAAAAGTCTTGTTCGATAACTGGTTTTGGAGCAGTTAAAAAACCCTTAGATAAAAAAAACACAAGACCCGCACGGATCTTGCCAATGGATTTTCTGCGATTGATCTTTCCACTGGACTCCTACCAATCTCAATTTACCGACCTTCACACTGGTGTGACAGGTTTTCTATTAGTAACACTAGTGTTAAGGTCGGGAAAGAATTTTTTCTATCTTCACCTTTAATGTTTGGTTTGAAGATGGCTAAAGCGCGGAAGAGGTAACGAATTTTTACGTAATTAACATTCAGTAGGTCAACCTAAAAAAATTATTGATTGCCAAAAATATCTAAATCATAATAAACCCGAATATTCTACTTTTCAAAATGTTTTATATATGTACTAGCTAACCAACCGAACTTCGCACCGCGCCGCGCCATAAAAATAGGAGCTGGTGGTAGAAGGGTGAAAATGTAGGGTTGTATGTATTTTTAATGCTACATTATAAAAAAATTTCATAAAAATAAAAAATGTTAGGGGTGGACAACCCTTATCACTTAGATAATAGCCGATTCTCAGAGCTACTGAATATGCATATAAAATTTCATAAAAATCGGTCAAGCCGTTTCGGAAGACTATGGTAACTAACACCGTGACACGAGAATTTTATTTATAAGATATTCCTTGCATCTTGCTTCATTTTATGCATAAAGCAACACGGACGCGGTCCGGTCTCATCCATGAGTGGTTTTTGACATTGAATTTTAATTTTCACTAATGTTTAGCAGTTCATCGAATGAGCCCGCCCTTGTAAGTTATAATTTAACGGACTTAGTGTATATTTCTTTAGCTGCGTTGCATGCTATTCCGAAACCTTGAATTTGCATATCGAGGCAACTGTTAGTTTTTGTTTTGGTACAAAATAAACTAGGTTTTCTTTCCTACGCCTTCTTACCATTGGCCAATAAAATAGTAGCTAAGTTTATAAATAAAGGTGAAGGCCAATGACTTTTTAGATAAAGGGCCTTATTTCATGAAAAGTAAATTAATCGCGATTAAGTAAATGATACTTTATGTCAATGGTATCGATTCTGGTTCTGATGATTCTCTAAACTTATGACTAAATTTAACATCAGTCTCTCTTTTTCATTCGATGAAAAGAATGACAAGGATACACTGTTGTCAAATTGAAGTTTAGGTTTAGATAATTATGCCAGAATCGACACCACTGTAATGTTAACTTAAGGTTCCGATATCCGGACGATCTCCGCAATGTGGAGTGGTTGACATCAGATTTTAAAGATGTCTTACTCAAAGAGCTCTTACCTCAAAGCCGATTTAAAGGACTTGGTGTGAACCCAGGACCTTAGGATATGCGACACCTTGAAAATCGGCGTATGTGTGGTACATAGCCACCAAGATCGTCAATAATTGTAGGTATCTGATATTTAATGAATTTTGTTTGCATTTTCCAGGCTAATTGGTTCAAAGCGCAACAATACTGCCGGTTCCACGGGATGCATCTCGCCTCCATATCATCGCAGCAGGAGAACGACAAACTGGAGCAGTACGTCAAAGACTCAGGTATGGACGATGTCGATACGTTACGGAACTGTCAAAAATTCGTGCTTGGGCCTCAGGACTCGAAAATATAAAATTCGATCATCCAGATGTCTATAGTTGAAATAAAATATAATTAATATGAAATCCACTTAGTTACAGCACTCGTGTTATGGAAATCATAATAATTGCAAGGACCCACTGTCCTGTGTTAGCTTAATCCAAGTTATTTAGATTTGCAGTAAAACGGGTTAAGTTGAGACAATTCAAAATTTATTTATTCAAATAGAAAGCATAATACAACTCTTTTGAATCGTCAAAATTTTTTTCCCTACCAACAGGTGGTAGGGAAAAATATTTGGACGATTTAGTCATGGACAATTTTTAACTGTGGAGAAAAACAGGCGAAAAACTTCACAGCGTTAAATTATGTAACAATATTTAAAAAATATTATATTGTTACAGTGTCAATACAATCAAATCTATTAATAAGATACGTTATTCGACTTCAATATCGTCGACTAGCATTTTAATTGCTGTGCCATACAGTTTAAATACAAATAGCTTAGTGACGACCTCTTATGACGACCTCCGTGGCCGAGTGGTTTGTACGCCGGATTTCATGGTGTCGCCGACTCGAGAGATCCCGGGTTTGAATCCCGGTGGGGGCAGATGTTTTGAATACGAGCATTTGTACTCCAGTCATGGATGTTTAATAATTGTAAATTAATATGTATTCTTTTATAAATATACTTATATATGTACAGTATATGTATTCTATCCGTTACCCTAGCATCCCATAAAACAAGCCTTACAGTGCTTACTTTGGGGCTAGGCTAATAGGTGTGAGTCTTGGAAATATTTATTTAAATAGCTTAGTGTTGATTTATATCATGTTTAACCTGAATGATCCTGCTATCACTTCGCTCAGCCATATTTTAGGGAAGGTAACGACCCGACTCTAACTACAGAGTTGGATTCACGCACGAAGGGTTCCGTACCTACCAACGTACAAAATTTAATTTTAACAGCAATACATCGGTTGTTACTGGAATTGCATTGGTGGCCCCTTTTATTTTGTTTTTATTATTTTTCTAGGTCCAGATGGTATTTCATTTTGTTAATAACCCAAATGTAAAACACTGAATAGGCATAGTTATAAGTCGCTATATTTTTCCATGCTATTATTATTATTAAGTGCCTTTTATTATTATATTTGCAGATAATGATTTATTAGTAGCTTATACTACTCTTTACTCTTTATGTGATATGGTACTTATATAATCTCTAACTAAATAATACTGACCGACTGATAAATTTAGAGACACTTTCCTACGTGCGTATAGGAAACTACAGGAGTATTCATATTAGTGCCTAGTGGTATATTATTATTAAAGTTATTGCTATCGAGCTTAAACTACACAAAGTATAAGCAACACGCATCATTTACAGAAACTGTTTTTTATTAATTGATATGAGTCATTTTTAGTCTAGGAAACATAATTGTTAGATTAAAGAAAGAAAATTTTTCGATTCTTTTTTTGTTTTCATAAAAATAAATATCATATTACATTAGTAAAAATCTTTCAAAAATCCAAAACCGTGCACATGGTGTACCGATTTTTTTGCTGAGTATTTATTAAACCTACATATTACTTACCATAAAACAGACAGTCGCGGAAAGGATACCAACTTCAATCCAATTCGAATAGAAGAGCCAATGTAAGCCACATTTTTTTATTCAAGTATCATGCTGATTTGTTTCTTAGGTTTTCACGCACATCACTCATTAAATAAAATCAGTTTATTACGGGTTAATGCACGAAAACTTTATTTATTTATTTATTTATAGTCAATAAATAAATAAAGTTTTCGTGCATTAACCCGTAATAAACTGGTTTTATCATGCTGATGTTTATAGTTTTATATTTAATGCTTTTCGTCTCTGTAAAGCACAATAACGTGATGTCATTATGTAACCCAAAAAACTTTTATTTAACAAAAGAAGTATTCGTTAACATGCCACCTTTTTTATTTTTGTCTGTACCAGTCTATGCAGCCGTGCATTTTGGCATTTTTAGTAACGAATCTTTGTTTGTATTTCTTTTAAGTTCACGATTATCGAGGCAGGATAATATTAATATTATAAGAGTATGCAAAGGATATAATTCAACATTTTTATCCATAAACCAAGTTACAAAAATACTAATTTGTGTCAGAAGTAATAATCAAATAAATAATAAATTAAGCTTTAATAAAATATTTATATTACTAATTTATTTTACGGTTTAACCTTTCCGTTTTTGGGTCCGACATAGGTTTTCATTTGTAACAATTTATAGTTTTATTTTCTTTAGGGTATGCAATAATTTTATTGATCTCCAACTATTTCCTCCGTAACCCCGTGAAAAAAACTGCGTAATTAATGTATAGGTACTCGGTCGCTACATAATTGAAAACTAAAATTGCTAGCTTTATGCTGAACAAAGAATGTATTTGATTTCCACAGGCCGCTAATTATTGCCTTCCCCTTGCTTTGCAGATTTTAGAATGAGTCATAAGCGCAGTGAATTAATTGAGGGTTGTGACCCCTTTTTTACTATCATTATAGTTAAAAGTAACGAGGGAATTTAACCAGTACCATTATAGGTAGCTGATGAAAATTTCAAAAAGTTGCAAAATAAAAAGTTGTATTCAAAAATGCGTACGAACATACTGAATACGACCAAATATACCTATCTTGTAATCATCCCCCTATTCAAAAGCCTTGGCTTAGTGAAAACATGAAAACTGAAACTTTCAAATCATTGCTCTTCTTTCCGTCGAATGTATGTAACATTTGAAAAAGCTTTTCATATTTTTTAAATAGTTACTTATCTAGTTATAATTTTTATTATTTTAAAGCATGTAACTGCTCGATGTTTAAATCTAAAGAAAATATAACTAGAAAAAAATCCACGTGGACCAGGCAATCCAATCCGGGCGAATGCACTGACCAATTATGCTACCGCGGCCCTCACGGACCGCGTCGAAATTCTTCTAGCCATTCTTAAGCTGCAAGGCAGCGCCATCTCTTCGCATTATAGGTAACCGGTAGCATAATTGGTCAGTGCATTCGCCCGGATTGCGAAGGGTGCGGGTTCGAGTCCCGTCTGCTGCCTGGTCCACGTGGAATTTTTTCTAGTTATATTTTCTTGAGTTACTTATCTACTTGAATAGCATTGATGTATTAATTTTTTGTGAATATATTATCGCCCCCGCGACTTCGTCTGACTTGGAACTCCCGTTTTACTTCTTAAGGGGGTTCGTAAGTTAGGGAAAATCCGTTCTTAGCGAACGCATATATCATAATTACAAAATGTGGCTAAATTTCAGCGCAATCCGTTCTATAGTCTGAGCTGTGCGTTGATAGATCAGACAGACGGTTGCCTTTTATGTTAAACTTTTCTCTGTTCATTGTAGCGACTTTCGTGTGCGGCTTTTCACACTAGGTTAACCTGGAACTTGTAGTGATGTAGACTGTCTTTGGTATTCATAAATACGTTGCGAGTTAAGGGTGAATTAAAATTATACATGCATTGTTAATAATAGTAACTTGAGAGTTATTATTATATAGTATCTCTATATTTGTATATATAGGTAAATGGTCTGGGCGAAAGCTTTTAAACATATATGTTATTTTATGAAGAATCGTTTAACAGTAATCAGCCTCTTTCAAATATTATCTTGAATCAGCCATGAACGATTTTGATATAAAATTAATATTTAGTCGATAATAAAAGTAAAACACTTAAATAAAAGTTATGTTATTAATCTTTTCCAATTAAGTAGCTTATTTAATCTTCAAACAGCTGAAAGTTTCCGGAAGTATTTAAGAATTTAATAAAATATTTTTAAACTGGCTTGAAGGGTGATTTACCCATTTTCATATTCTTAACCGTTTTTAATCTTTAGGGCGCTTGTTAATGAAACGGTTTCTACCCTGATGACCAATCGACTAACAGCATTGCTATAGCTATCGCTATCGATTTCGGCTTCTTTTGTTATTTTTAACAGCCGACGGTTTTCACATATCTCACGCTCATTTTCTTTAATAATGTTATTACCAATACAAAAGAAAAAAAAGAGCGCGAGAAAATTTTAAAACCTTCGGCGGTCAGAAATAACAAAGAAATCGTAAGCGATAGCGATAGCCACAGCAATCCCGTAAGGCGTTTGGCTCTCTGGGCGATGCCGGCTATGCTTTTTCACGAGCACGGTTTGTACGTTTGTACCGACCCCAAAATGTCAATAACAAACCTCCATAGTGTCCCATACGTACAGGTCGCGGCACGTAACTCTAGCGCTGAACAAAACGCGAAGTAGATAGGGCGCATTCGCATGGGTACGACTGGAAAGCCAATCGGCGCAACGCACGCCCGCGCACCTCCTTTCCCCCAAGACATATTATTTTTTACTTCTGCGCAATAACGGTTAGCGTTAGAGTATCGTGCCGCGACTTAAAATTGACGTCCGGACATAGACGGGCTTTACAACCGTGCGTAGTACTTCTTAGAAATCGTCTCGTCCCTTTCTAGCTTCGTGGTTACTAAGAAGTTGAACTGCTTTCTTAATTTTTATGAAGTATAAATAAATTAATATTTCCAACACTCACACCAATTAGCTTAGCCCCAGAGTAAGCACTGTAGGCTTGTGTTATGGGATACTAGGGTTACGTATAGAATACATATTAAACATCCGTGACTGGAGTGCAAATGCTCGTATTCATCACATAAACATCTGCCTCCACCGGAACTCGAACCCCTCTCGAGTTAGCGACACCATGAAACCGCCGTACATACCACTCGGCCACAGAAGTTATCAAAAAAAGGATTATATGATTGGTCCGTAAAAATATAACGTTTAAGAAAGTGCTTAATCATGACATTTTCTACCATTACAGGATACGGCCGCGAACACTTCTGGACGTCAGGCACCGACTTGGCGGAGGAAGGCAACTTCTTCTGGATGGCGAACGGCAGACCGCTGACCTTCGTCAACTGGAACGCTGGTGAACCAAACAACTTCCGCTACGAGAACGGGGAAGAGGAGAACTGCCTAGAACTGTGGAATAGAGATGATAAGGGACTCAAGTGGAACGACTCCCCTTGCTCTTTCGAAACTTTCTTCATTTGCGAAGTCAGATCGGACTGATGATGCGAACTTCTTCAGACTAAATTTATTTGACAGATGTTTTACTGCGAAACGACTAACGATGATTGGCCGTAATTTTTGTTATTCTTTAACGCCTCCTCCCTATAGGCGCGTTACTATCGGTCGATAATTTACGATGCGTTATTGCGATATCAGGTTTCAGCACATTTTGTATGAGAACGGCTACGAAGTTACACACTGCTGCAATAATAACGACGCAAAAAAGTACGCCGAAATATCGCAATACCGCATCCGCCTTAACCGATTACAATGCGAATTTAGTGTCATACTCGTCATTGGTTGAAAAAAATATAGAATTTTTCCACCTCAACTTAAGTAGTCTTCCAAATAGTTTTTCCAATTTGGAGAATATATCGAGATTTCCTTAAATTCTGTGTTATCTAAAGAAATTTTTAGTTTTTATTTGAAATTTGTATTTGAAAATATAGTTAACTATTGTAGTAATTAATTCTTTCTTTTCCTAAATAGTTTCATATATGTATTTGGATATCTGTCAAGTATAAAAATTGTACATTTTTTAGTAAAGTAGCAAATATTTTAATAAAATAATTAAATTGAAATATGTAATAGTTTTTTAAATCTGGCTGAGATTTGCATTTGTTTATCACAGAAGAATCGGTCGATCTGTCGTTTCGTCGTTCATTATCATTTAGAGTCACTTACATGCGTTTTAAATCATCATTACCCCTTTAAATGATACCAAAATTAATTGAAGGAATGAAATTCTATTGCATTAATAATCCCTAATTTACCACAAATAAAACGGTCAATAAATTTTATTGCTTTCCTGATTATGTATTAGATTATAATGTCCTGTCGTTTTTTGTCAATTTTAAGGCAAATTTAAAAAATATAAAGCCTAGAAATACAGAATATTGCTGTATAGACACTATTAGCTTCTTTTATACTTTAACCATATTTAAAAAAAAAGATGAGGTGATCATTATTATTTTTTCTGATTGAAAAGTATAATTTAAACAAAAGATTTCCTTCGTATACATCATATATACTTAAATGAACAAGCGTGAGGCATTATGTATTTTTTTCAGCATACGAAAGTCTAAAATTAATGAATTATGGTTTGTGTGTGTGTGCATTTGTATATAAACGTATTATTTATATACGAGTATGTAACTTAATTTAGACAAAACTTTAAAATAGCTAATTTTTATTAATAATAAAAAAAAATCGAATTTCAATCCTTCGATATCTCGAGATTAAAGTATTTATATCTATATTAATGAATTGTAAGTATCGATTTATTATATTATCAACAAAAAGCTAAATGAAATAAAAATATCAATAATCTATTTTTAAATATTATTATATATCAATTAATTTTCTTAAATAGTCTGAATAAACAAATTCGGAAAAAAAGAAAGAACCTCATTTTATCGTAATTTGAATGAGAATAAAATTATTTGGTCAGTATACGGAGTAAGTTTATTACCAATACTATTTATTATTTTCTATATTATCATTCCATAATAATTATTTGTAAAAAGATAACTTGTTTTTAAGTATGAACGATCACTGCCTTTGATCTGATTTAAGTTGAACCTCCGAACCGTACGGTTCAAAGGACGCTGTTGTCCATAGTCAAACATAGTAGGTAAATAAATGTAGTTACCTTAGATAGGTGTTTAAATAGCTGTAAGATCGGTTAATACATGATTATGAAAAAAACATGTTTGTTTTATTCTTTAACTAGCGGCCGCCAGCGACTTTGTTCGTGTCAATTTTAGGTTTTAAAGAATCCTTCAGGAGCCCAACATTTCACCTTCTGTATAAAAAGTATCCTATATCTCAATCCAGTTGATAAACTTTATGTGTGCCAAATTTCATTCAAATCCGTTTGGCCGCATTTCCGTGATTGTGTAACAAACATCCGCTCAAACTTTCGTATTTATAATATTTTGCTATAGAGCTTTTATTTTTCGCTGAAAATTGTTTACGCATTCAGCTAAAAAGCTAAATGAATAATATAAACAATTTTCAGCACAAAATCGCCATAAGGCGAACCTTGCCACACAATTGACGCTGCAGAAAAACGTATCACGTAGAACTTCCGGATAGAACACCAGCATAGGTATTCTGTAAGAAGAAATGTCACTTACGTTCTTATTTATTTGGGTTTCTGACAATTGGCAAATATCTAATACTGCCTGCTTTTACAGACATTGCGACATTTCGTAATTCATATCAAACTAATGTCTAAAATGGCAGCTACCGAAATCGGAAGTGAGATTTTATTTAACAGTAACCCTTAGCACGAACCACTATCGAATTCGAATAGTTTGCAAACCGAAATGTCAATGCCAAATTTTGTATGGAAACTTGAACAGCAGCGGCACAAAGTACGTAACGAGAACTAAAAATCAGTACACATTTGACAATGACATTTCGGACTCGCAAACGATACGAATTCGATATTGGTTCGTGCTAGGGGTACAGATCAGCTTTTTCGCGGTAAAAAGTCAGTTTCTCCTTAGAGAATAGCACTGCTAGATTCCACTAACATTTGATGCGGACTAACTTACTAGCTCTTGTAAAGAAAAACTAATCTATGTGAAAGTAGCCATTACTTTGTTTAATAATAAAACGAAAACAAATGAGGTCGAATTACTATTTGTGTGACTCGGGAACATTAGTTGGCAGCCCGCCTGCTTTCTGCTACTGAAGTATTTACGGCTTAAGGTGAACGAACCTTTGTTTACGTCTGTCGTTATTACAGGTAACTAACTACGTACTTAATGGTAATATTTAGAAGTCAAGTTACAATGAAAGCCACCATTACTACTTATTCATAATGTTGAAGACAGACTCTTTAATTGTAATTATCTATATTAACACTTATCTATGCCACGCCGTCCTAACTCGATCCTTGTCACTCCTTGTCTGCTTCTTTTATAACTGCCTTCTTATTTCCTTCTTACTGTCTTCTTCTTTTATTCTGTAATATTTGTATTTAATAATGCAATCCTTTCCCCTAACCGCCGTTTCCTCTGCTGTCCTCGTCACATAATATAAGCAAATCAACGGTTTTTTTTATTGCATTTTCGTCAAACGTCACCATCCATCCTCAAACTCATATTATAAATGCAAAAGTGCATATCTCTATTGCCTCTTCACGCTTAAAACCACTTAACCAATTTAAATGAAATTTGACATCGTAATAGTTGAGTTGAGTTTTATCCGTCATACGTTACCATGAAATATAATACCTCAAAGGATCTTAGAAGGAGGCCTCATAATGATTTATCATTCAGAGCTTGCGTATTGTAAAAAGCTGCCCTGGGTAACTAGTATTTATTATTATTTCAGAACTTTGGAGAGCTTAGGATTCTAATGAAACTGTAGTCACGGCGAGCTAGAAGATCTATTATGACACCAAGTTAAAGTATCTCTTTTAGCTCAACAGCTTCCAAGAAGCTCAAACTTTTACTAGCTTTTAGACATTAGATTTCTTCTGGGCGTATTAAATGTCGTCCCAGATGAATACTACGTTTGTCGGCGAGAGGCCTACATTTTCTTAGAAAGTGTTTTGGTGTTTCACGCTCCTGACTGCAGTATCTGCAAACATCAGTGTAACTTAATTTCATATGAAATAGGTGTCTCTTGAGTTTTCTGTGTCCAGTTAAACATCTTACAATAGCACGGGTGTTCGGCCTTCTAAGTTCTATTAACTCAGCAGTACGTTTTTTGCGAGATACTAGTAGCTAGTATAGTTGTGGCTAAAGTATATAACCGATATAAGGCAGCGGATATTTTCTATACAACCATGTCCTAAAATGCATTTTGTGATCGATTCCAAGATTTCAACAAGACATAATCAGAAACAAAGTTTATACTCTTACTACACTCAAAAAAGCGCAACATATGTCTCATTGCTTCTATTTAGTGATATGTATAATATACAATACCTATCTTCTGCAATATATTGCGGCGATCTACCCTGAAGGGGTAGGCCCTGGGAGCGTATCAATAATAATTAAAACAACTTTTTTTTTATTTTGTTTTATTAGAAATCAGGCGAATATAATAATTGAGCTTAATATATCAACGTATGATTTGGTGCCTGAAGTCTGTCTGCTGGAACCTTCTATTAAACGACAGAAGATTCCCAATTTCAAATCTTTAAAAATCATGACATTACCTTTTTAATATAACTGCCAGTCGTAGGCATTACATGTACAAAGAGTTTACCCAAACAAGGAGGCTGTAACGCAATGGACGTTACAGTACCATCATGAAAAAAGATACAATTTAAACCAAGCGATGGTTTAAAATTCACGCTACACTAAGAGAATAGGCAATAGCGCCGACCAGTATCTCAAGCACAAATTTTGACAGGTCCAACGTTTCTATGGAGACTAAGCAGCTCCCCCAACTCCTACCGGCCTTAAGTACAAACCAGCTTTTTCTATAGAAACTTCGACATGGCGATACGCATACTTTCTCGCTAGTTGTTCGTGCTGGGGATATAGGTGTATTCCCTTGTGCTATTAACGTATTCTCCTTTACGATTAGTAGTTACGGTAGCTATTTTCAAGTTATAGTAAATAATTTGAAAGTTTTTATATCAAAGAAATTATGTTTAATGTGTTATTAAAGAAATTACTGAAAAGGCGCCTTGTCAAAACAGTTAGGCAAAAGAGTCATGCTCGCATTGCCGTACGAAAATCCTACTAGATTTTCGTATTGGGATGAAAAATTCAAGCAAACTACACAGAGATCGCAGGTAGAAATTAGTCAACTATATATCTGAATAAGACTGGGCATTATTGTAAATAAATAAGACAGAGAAAGAAATAAATAAATAGGCCCAAAGGACCCTGGAGAGAACACCGGCTCATGAATTTTTCGCTTTGCCGCTGCCTTTGTTCAAAGAACTGCAACGAGGGGATATTTGGGAAAAGGGATAATGTGCCTGCAATATAGATAGATAATAATAATTGCGCAAGGTTGTTAAGTTAAAA